TATTCTACCTATCACTGTCAATTTCGTTTAAGCCGCGGGATAATAAAGTGCTTCAAAACTGGATCCAGATGTGGGATGAAGACCAATATAGAATACAACCCTTTGGCGAAGACTGTGAAAAGAGACTGTTGTGCAATTCTATTAGTACGCCTTGATATGATACTAGGCCACCTGCTGTTGGGGACCCCAGTATTGAGTTGCTCTTCACTTTGACTCCAGCATAGTCCCCCTAATATCACCCTTACAATTAGCTTTGCACGAACATCCTCTGCAAACTCGGTGATTGTCAAACCCGAATCTAACAGCTGCTGGAAAGAAATATCCAGGCTTAGCACCAAGCATACTATCAACCCCATAGCTGGCAATAGACCGGCTCTTATCAAACTCATCTATGTAGAGCATCGACATACGACTAAGCTTCGTATCAAAGCTTTTGCGAACAGCTTGAATTGTCTCGATAAAATCCAAGCCTCCCAATGAACACAGGATACCCTGACTCTCACCGCTAGCCGATAGATTCTCACTCCGGAATTTTTATAGCCCAAACAGTGTGACTGAATCGCACATCCAAGGCGCAAAATTGTCGACGTCGTCACCTGCCTCCCATGTCGCTTATGCCTTGGTGAGCTCCATTAGATCCAGTGTCCAACAATGTGGCCTAAAATGCCTTCTTGGACCTGTTCAATGATTGCAATCTCAAAGACGCGGGGGAGAGCTTCCTCGTCAATGCCATCCGTTTTCTTGTATCTGAGTGATTCATCGAGCTCATTGCGCTCCACAACTACCCCAACTCCAAAGTTTACTGAAAGGCCGACGTCAGTTTGCTGGAGATGAAGCGGATTAAGAGCGGCCGATTGCCCTGTTTTGCTCAATTCTATCTCTCATCGAGTCAATTATGGCCGTCCCCACGATCTTGGTTCCCTAGTGGACTAAATGAAGGCGACACGGTCATCCTCAATGAGCCCACCACCTCGAACTGGACCATCGATGAAATGGTCGATACGCATAGCTATCAATGCCAAGATCGTTCACTCGACTCTTACGCATCTGTCCTGTTCAGATGCCCCAATACAACCAATGGAAAAGAGGCTTTTATGCGTCTTTGTTTCCAAGTTCCACACGCCGGTCATGAGAATGCGGACAAAGCTTCCCGTACCCGAGAAGCAACTAAATTCACACCCCCTGAGCTAAAAGCATACAAATTTCTCATTAGCAAACGCTCTCAAAATACACCTACACTTCTAGCATACGACATAGGGTCTCAGGATAGCTTAGGTGCAGTTCCCAAAGGCCATACATATCACATGGATTGTATGGGAGACGGTTCCCGGAAAACGCCTAGGAGATTTCAAATCTGCCTTTGTGTACTGGGATATGGACTACGATGAACGAAAACGTATCCGCGAGATTTTACTTCGAGAGTTTCCGTGAGTCGAACAGCTTTTTAGTACCAAGGGTAATGCTAAGTTAGATTATTTAGTATGGCCAAGCCTCGCAATCTGGTCTGGGATGAGAACAAGGGTGATATGTATGCCGCTTATCTCTTCTATAATTCTGGGAATTCAAATGACGTATTCCTACAGTTCTTTTATTGGTTTCCGAGATGCAATGCCTTTCAAAGCTAAAGGAAATTTCGGTGAAGAGTGGTTGCCACGTTTTGATCTTGCGAAGCCCCCTCAGAGACACTACCGAATGAACAGAGATTACAAGGGTGATATCTCAGATTGTGGAACTCTGATCAGATCTTTGCTTCAGGCAATAGGGCATCGTTGCTTTTGATTATCTTGGCTCATTACTGCCAGAGCTCTGCAGGAGAGGTGACAGGAGAGTGAGCAATTATGACTCAGTTATATCTGCTATCGAGCACTAGAGAAATGGAATGTAGGAAGCGCAAGGAGCTCAATAGGAAGCTACATCCTTTGCAAAACACTGCTGGCAAACGATCTTAACATTTGCTCTATGTAGTCCAAGGCATTCTCCCTATATCTACCAGATCAGTCTCTTAGCCTTCTCCTGCTTACTCAATCAGCATACACTCTCCAACTGTCACTACTCTACCCATCGATGCTTTTCCCGTTTTACGCAAGTATTGTGAGATCGGATGGTCGGAACAGAGCACGACTAGGCCTAACATATTAATGTTAGACCAACACGTTCTTGGCGTGCCATCTCGACTCAGGAACGAAAAGCCGCAAATCATACCACTGGCAGCACGAAATATCCTCGTCGAGCCTCTTCCTCCCCCCCGCCCCCCGAGTGGGGTACATTCATACCAATAGCAGCGCCATACACAAGATCGATTTTGTGGGCCAATTGATGGCATGGCCCAACTTTGAACGAGAAGTCATTACCACATTTTCTTTGCCAAGCACAAACTGGAACAATGACACTCTTGACGTGCGTGTTGTGGGCTTCGGATCACAAACCTCGATCTCCGAGGAGCAGATGGTCCTCGGAGATGAGATCGGGCTCCAAGGCCGTCTGGGCGAACGTCTTGGTCGGCCGGTGACCTCTTCCCTTCAAGCGCAGCAACACCGACGCCGGATGGGGGACTTCAAAGCCAGTAGGCCTGCAGCAGCCGGGTACCGACGTATCCCAGACATGGTGTTGTTCGATGGTGTGCCTGAAATCAAAGTCGTTGGGGGGGCCAAGGCGCCGTGGCCCGATGAGCACATTAATATGCTGAGCGAAGGAGTGGACGATTTTGAGGCCGGGCAAGAGGGGCCACTTCGCCGTCGTCTAGGCATGGTATAAATTATGCTATCTTTATATTCATGTACTAATATGTGTACTATCTTACAGGGCAAGTTGCCCGCTATATGCGGGAGCTTAATGTTAAGCACGGTTTTTTGTCGACCTACGAGGAAACCATCTTCCTCAGAAAAGTTGACGTCCGAGGAGTTTGGACTCTTCAGTACTCTACCGTGATTGCTTACGACGATCCGCTTACCTCTCAAACAGAGGGTACTACCACTCAGCAAGGGCTTTACCATGTAGCCCTTCTCGGGCAAGCTGATTCCGTGTTTACTAGGAGGGGTGGTACTAGATCCCCTCTGCGCAACCACCGGTGGACTATTTCACGGGAGTAAACACATGGTAAGACCATCCGAGAAGGCTCAATGGAAAGCCTTGCCATCTCGCAGTTGTCGTATGTAATCATAGCAATACTCCTCGGATCTTGACCTTTCTGAGGAAGATGGTTTCCAAGTTAAGAAGTTCAAGTCCCTCAAGCCCCCTCAAGTCCCCCAAGTTCCTCTAAAATACCCCTCTCCGAGGACGCTTATCTCTGTCCAAGGCCGCCATCGAAACCTCGAAAGCCTCCATTCTCCCGATTAGTTAGACGAGCTTGGCAGGCATGGAAATCCCATCATATGATCCAGCAATTAATCTTCAAATTGAAGCATTTGTGATTAAGAGACAGAAAATCTGTCTCATTCTTTGACTTTGAATTTTTTTTTTCACGTATCATTTTTTTGTGCCGCGGGCAAGATCACAGCCCCGTCATTTCAACAGGAGTGTATGCAACGTTGTATTTACATTCACGGGATGAGATGAAATTGCGCCAAAAGCGCAAACCCTCAATTCCTTCTTCTCGACAGAGAACCCCCCTATCTTCAGCCATCTCCAGCTCTTCGGCAGCAACCCCAACACTCCATTTGAACCGATGCGCAGCTTCCTGAGCAGTAACGGCCCGACCGAAAAGAGACCAATCCCAAGGAACAGGATCGTCCGGAGGAACCCGCCGGAGCTCCTCCATCCAGGCCTGGAATTTCTCGATGGTCTTCTCATCGCTCCAGTCATATCGCTGCACCACAAGAAGACCACTTTTAAATCGTCGTAGACGAACTGGCAACTTGAGCTTTTCCCACAGCTCCGCTGCTTTCTGGAAATCCGAAGGACTGGCTAATTCTACTCCATTACGGGATCGATTGAAGAGAGCCCAGAGATCAATTAGACTCATAATCCCACCTTCCCGCTGCAAAATACCTTTTCGGTCATCAGTGAGATACTCAGCCAGATCACGTGCAAGTTCTGATAAATATAGACTTTCAGATCCGGAACTGAGCATGTCTTTTGTTGTCACCATCCCGAGAGCAGCGGCGGACTCAGATAGCACCGCGCTGGTTTCTGGGGAGCTCCCATTAGTAGCCATGCCAGAATCACGCGCCAAAGTCTCCGCCAGCGCAACAATCTGCTTGGCGGAGGCCATTAAAGCCTCCAGGTCTTCAAAGGCGTTCCCTATGACTAACTCGTTTTTCCTCCGAGCTTCCAGTCCTCGGCGTTCTAATCCTGCAATACCAACCCCGGAAGGTCTTGGGGCTGAGGGCAGAGGACTTTCAACGCTAGTGGCAGGGGAAGCAAAGCCCTGTGAAGAGGTGCCTTGCGACGGCGAAGGCACTGGGGGTGCATTTTGCAAGAGCCATTTTCTTTGAACCAGGGCTCCCTTGAGTCTTTCATGGAATGTCTTATCACCACCTGCACGGAATGAAAGTTTAATGCTCTCACTAACTTCCGTATTGGCGATGTGTGATTGCTGAAACAACGGCGCAGGAGAGTCCACGCGATTTGCGTTTATCGAGGAACCAGCAGATAGAGGGGCTCCACAAATCTCACATTCCACGAGATATGGATGGTTCACAAAGGTACATCGTGGGCAAGAGACCGTTTTCCCGGGCCTAAAAGGCGATGGAGACGCATTGGCAATTGGTTGCTCTGCATCTTGTGCAGTGGCTGGTGATGCAACTGAACTCAGCAATGGAGGCTTCCAGCTTGTGGCAGCACTGATTGCTGCTTTGAGAACCGTTGTAAATGGTGGTTTGATGCCACATGCTAGACACGGGGGTAAATTCGTAGCCGCACTAGCCGTTGCGGGGTCGAAATTGGACGGAACTGGGTTGGAGAATGAGCATATGGGACAGATCCAAGTGGCATTGATTAGCTTTGGAGATTTTGTGCTCTGCAAAAGGTTGGTTTGTGGGAGGTGAGAATGTGATTGCGTTGGATGAAGGGCCGATTGCTGAGCTACAGCTGGGCTGGCTGTCGCGCTCCTTAAATTATCGGTCTTCTTCTTCTGTGGTTTCGGGTATATGGTGAGCTTAGGAGATGATTTCAGGAAGCCAGCCTTGAACACGTGAGTCTATTAGTGATCGGCTGAGAGTAAAAACCCCAAAAGGAAGATGTACGCCTGTCGCACCTGAGACTCCACTCGATCGATTTCTTTCAGATCAATAGCCACTGAGTACTTCCGCGGGTCCTCAGCCGCAACATAGCACACTCTGTGGGATGTGAGATATGCATAGCCATTTTGGTAATTCTGGATTTTGTATTTCCTTTGCCTCTAATCAGCACCCCGCATCAGGAGCATCATCATGAGCTACTTACCCTTCATACAACCCCACCGCGTCCTGGACAAAGAGAAGGATCTCATCGGTTAAAAGCAAGGGTCTGAGTGCAGTAGTCAGATCCAGCGACTTGAAGAACATCTAGTAGGTTCAATTAGCTCCCAACATCAAGGAGAACCCTTAAGAGATGGAGGCATGTCATTTAAGCCAAGACGATTGCGATAACCCGATAAGGAGGGCTTCTCGGACAAACAAAGATCCGGTGAGTAAGCGAGCATCGCTCACCGTCACGGGTCGAGTCTGTGTGGACTTCACTCTCACTCTCTGGCTCGTGACCATCTCATTTCGAAACTAAACGTTCATCATCTTTTTTCTCATCTCAAAATCAGTGTCAGTCGAGGAGTAAGATCAAATCTTGACTCTTCCAGCCGTTCCTCGAGACTTGCCCCTTCGTAGCTCTTTACTTTCTTTCATCATTCATCATTCTTGTTTCCTTGTTTGTTTTCCAAATCTTGCATCTACGATGAGTTCCAGTGTACCACCTTGGCGCTCTACCGCCCCAGGCACGATTTCTAGTGCATTTCCTCCAGTTGGTATGAAAAATAATTCGACCCGAGTCTCGTTGGTCTCGTGTCAGGAGGCTAACAGCCGAAAAGCGGCTCCGGCATACACTCCAGTCCAAGCGCGTCGTAGCCTCGCCCATCATACAAAGCCAACCAATGGAACCGTTCCTCCCCAAACCACCCAGTCGGCATCACCGGATACAGAAGCCCGGGCGCGAGTGGAGTTCCCACCACCCGTACGCTCATATGTGCAACGCTGCTTTGCTCCCGAAAACCAAGTTTCAAGCGTGAGCATTCCCGAAATGCAGGAGAAGTTGAGGCACGTCATTACGGAAGCAGCCCAGAATGACAAGTTGGGATTGATTGACTGGGAAAGGCTACCTTTGCCTCAAACCATGGTGCAAAACGAACGCAACAAGGTCCTGGCCAACCCCAGCTCTTCAAACTGGGCTTCCAGTCACCCAGCTTCTCCCGGGGATGCCACACGGAAGCGAAAGTCAACTGATGGCCATCATTCGGAAACTGGATCGCCGCCATGGAGAAAAGCTAACCGCAATCGTTTTGAAGATCGAGTTACTCACCCTACCACAGAAAAAAAGCCACGCATAACACTGGACCAGTCTAGTAAGTCCAAAGCTAATTTGGAGATGAGGAGAAAGCGTTTTGAGGGAGTAGGGGCCAGCGGGAAGTCTCCCTCTTCTCCCGCAGGGTCGCCGATGCATGCTGTGGACGCGGATCAAGGCCCCGTTGTCGGGCGATGCCAAACATTAGAGAAGAACTACTTCCGATTGACCTCTGCTCCCAACCCGGACAGTGTTCGTCCTCTGCCAGTCTTGAAAAAGGCCTTGGATTTATTGAAGAGAAAATGGAAGCACGATAGCAACTATGGTTATATCTGTGACCAGTTCAAGTCTCTGCGTCAAGACCTAACGGTCCAGCGCATTCGAAATGAATTCACTGTCATTGTCTACGAAATCCACGCACGTATCGCCTTGGAAAAGGGGGATCTTGGTGAGTACAACCAGTGCCAGACCCAGCTACGAGTGCTCTATGCCCAGCAGCTGGGAGGACACCCAACAGAATTCAAGGCCTATCGTATTCTCTATTTCATTTACACGCGAAACTGGACAGCGATGAACGATGCACTAGCCGATGTGACTGCAGAAGATAAGAAAGACCTGGCCGTGAAGCATGCCCTGGATGTCCGCTCTGCCCTTGCACTCGGGAACTACCATCGTTTCTTCCAGCTGTACCTTGATACGCCGAATATGGGAGCCTACCTTATGGATATGTTTGTTGATCGTGAGCGGTTGAGTGCTCTTGCAACCATGTGTAGAGCGTGAGTCTTGACTTTTCCTGTTCTGTTCGAGCATTCTAGCTGACCTTGAATTGTAGATACAAGCCAGATGTCAACATCCGATTTATCACAGAAGAGCTTGGATTCGAGTCCGATGAGCAGACCGCACGTTTTGTTCTAGACAACTCCTCCGAAGAGCTGCTGGAGGAGAGGAACGGAGCTGTAAGGCTGCTGACGGGCAAAGCAGGCTCGTTGTTCGATCAAGCCAAAGCAGCCGCCCACCGTGTCGTCGATATCAAAGGCCAGATCTAACCAAGTTCTCATTTTGTCCACCTGTTTATTGCGCCGAGGATCATAAACCTTTGGATCTCAGTCCAAGTCATTTGCTTATCTTTTTTTTGGCGTATTTTCAAAAGCGGCAGGCGTTCACTTGCGTCCACACATGGATACAACATGTCTTTCCCAAAGTCCTTACTTTTTTTCGATGCCTTTTCATTCCCGTTCGCCTCGGCCCCATCTTCCGGAGTTCTTTGCACAGGACTGCCAGTGGAATTGCGACGATACTAACACACCCCCGGCGGCATCTGATCCTGGAGTTGGTCTTTTTTGGGAACCAGAGGACACAACATGTGCACTTTGACTTGGTTCGATGGAGAGAGGCGATAGCACATGGACATAGTAAATACCTACAGTCAATCTATCCAGTACGTATCTTATATGCAGAATTCTTTTGGCTTGTAGATCGCCTCCAATCTCAATTACATTCGAAAACTTAGAAACTGGCCACGTGGTAACCAAGGCCAACCCTGGGCCGTACCGGGAAGCGTGTTGGGAACTCTGGTCGAGACTCAGACATGTGCGGGGGACCTGCCAAGTGGCACAGTCCATGCCTTTCGTACAGATGTGGCCGATGATCGACATTAAACAGAGTTTCTTCAGCTTCCAAGGTTGCCAGTGTCTTACCTGGGTAATTGGTATTTTTTTAAACTTTCAATTCTTGTATCTAACATTCAAAAAAACTCGAGATGAAATTTCCTCTGCATACATGTACAGTAGGCAGATTACAGGAGCCGCGCATTCATAGCCCCAGAAATTTTTTTTTGGGTAGAAAAGATAAATCATTTTAATACCAACGGATTGGTTCTCCCTATCAGTTTCGGCCCCCATTCTAGGCCCTATGTTTTTGATACATCCATGCTCCGTATCCATTTTTCCCTTGTTCGGTGGAGATCCCCGATTGCATATTTAGCACTCCGTACTACCTCCGTATTCCTATTTTGACTTTCAAAATTACTAAAAGAGAAAGACCGGAACGGCTTTGAGACGACGTCAGAATCCGCGGTTTAGGTATGTTTGAGCCATGGTTATAAGTGGGGAAGTGAGGGGCAAAGATCCTTCTTTTGCTTCTTTTTCGTTCTTTGTACTCCGTACCTTTTCCAAGGTACTTGCTTTGTATCTGTACCATGCAGCGTGCAATAACAATGTGCAATGTACTAGTACGAAACTTGTACTTTACGAAATACATCCCAGTATCTATAGAAAGTGGCAAGTGGAGTGCCTCGGACAGAGTCGCATTTAGTCTAGTAGGGTGTGATTCTATTGCACTAGCCGCCGACGGTGGGTTATCATTTGTCTGCCCAACGGCGGCAATAAGCAGTAGTTACGGCTTGTAATCTAGACAATCGGGAAATGGCAAAGATCAAATTGGAAGACATGTTCGAATACCTCTCGTTGGGAATTTATTGTTCTAGAGCTCTTTGACCCTCTCAAGTAAGACATCTAATGTCCTCATTGAAGCGTGCATCGATGTATATCCCGATGTTCAAGCCTGGGAAGGTTCCAAGGTTCCAAGGTTCTGGAGGCTGGCGTCATCCTGTATTGACATGACCATACCATCTAAAAAGGTCCATTGCACTAGATATCAGATCAAAGACTAGTATAGATATGCCCGCAATGGCTGGAATGCCCGGAACAGTCAAAATTAATTCATCTACATCTATACCCCAAAGTATCCAAGATCACAAAGAAAGCAAAAAAAAAGCAAAAAGCGGATCCCCCTGGCAATCATCCAAGCCGCGTGGTTGGAACCGCAACACGGATTACGCTGGTCAAGGTATACATTTTGGCTAAAAAAGAGGCTGCTCCTCCTTTCCTCCTCTTTTGCATCTCTCCTTGATCCCTTTTTTCACGCTCTTACCATGAAGGTGAGTTTCCCTAGTTCCGAAGTATCACCTGGTATCAAGTTTAATTAATCCGGTTTCAAAAATAAAAGGCCTTTAGGCGGTCCTTGAAGGGGGAGAAAGAACCCAAACATCACCACATCTCTATTACACCCAAGTCCGCTATTGCGATATTACCCCCGAAAAAAGTCAGTTCCTTGCGCAAATTCGCCAGTTGGGTTGAATTTCGCCGTCCCACTCCCGACTCGTTCTTGGCAGTGGCTGACCGTATTTCTAGGTAATCAAAGCGCTTTACGACTACCAACCCGAGCTGGGAACCTCGCAGGAATTGGCATTCAGCAAGGGAGATTTCTTTCACGTTATAAGCAGGGAGGACGATTCGGATTGGTACGAAGCGTGCAATCCGCTGATCCCTAGTGCTAGGGGGCTTGTACCCGTCTCCTTTTTTGAGGTTATCGGCAAAAACGAGAGGGATAGTGGGGGTTCCGGCGACCTGGCCAAGGACCACTACGATTCCGGGTTCTCCGACCGCGGTTTTTCCCAAGATTCTCCCATCACCAATAACGGCGCATTCAGAATGTCTGCACTCAAGGGCCAAGGCGCCATGGTTTACGGAATTGTTCAGTACGATTTTCAGGCGGAGCGACCCGATGAATTAGATGCGAAGGCGGGCGAAGCTATTATCGTCATCGCTCAATCTAACCCGGAGTGGTTTGTCGCCAAACCCATCGGCCGTCTCGGTGGCCCAGGCTTGATCCCCGTCTCTTTCATCGAATTGCGTGATATGCAAAGCGGACAGGCTGTGGCCGACCCGCTTGATGCCGTGCGACGCGCCGGTGTTCCCAAGGTTGAAGAATGGAAGAAGATGACGGCAGAATACAAGAATAGCAGTATCACATTGGGCAAAATCGACCCTGGTCACGGCGGTAGCACTTCGGGTATGGAAAACATGTCCATGAGCCGCCAGAGTCAAATGAGTCAAAATGGCAATGTTTATGTAGGCGAATTTTCTGACTCCCATTTGCGATTTCATTTACTAACCGATGATGCGTCTGAGTAGGAGCACCAACGTAATGCCAGCAAGGGAACTTTGTCACAAGTGCCCATGTCGCAACAGGGCTCTCAGCTTCTCATCCCCGTCTCTGCCTACATTCCGCGCTACTGTTTCGACAACGATAAGTATTGGTACATCATCGAGGCGAAGATGGAAGACGGTCGCTGCTGGGAGCTGTCGCGTTACTACCACGATTTCTACGACTTCCAGATCGCCCTTCTGACTCAATTTGAAGACGAAGCTGGCAACCGTGGCCGTGGACGAACCCTCCCTTTCATGCCGGGTCCCGTCACCCACGTCACAGACGCAATTTCCAATGGTCGACGACAGAACTTGGACGAATACATCAAGAAGCTCCTGTCTATGCCCCCGCATATCTCGCGTTGTCAACTCGTGTGCGAACTCTTCTCGCCCAGAGAAGGCGACTTCGAAATCGACCCTGAAGCGTTTGGCGAGGACGCCCGGTTCTCGGATGGATCTCAACACTCCGTTGGCGTGGATCCCCAACAAACCGTGTCGCGCCAGTCTTCGCAGCAGCAAATCAACGCGTCTGTGGAGCAAGTATCTCAGCAGCGTGCCTCGGCGCCCCCGCCACATGCCAATGGTGGCCCGCCGCCTGTGAATCGTCAAACCAGTTCCATCGCTCAGGCCCCTGGCACATCAGCCAACAGCGCCATGAAGGTCAAGGTGTTCTTCCAGGATGACCTGATTGCGATCCGCATCCCATCTGGCGTGAGCATGCAGCACCTCAAGGACAAGCTATGCGACCGGTTGAAGATCCAGGACGACATTATTGTGCAGTACCGTGACGAATCCTCTGGCTCCTACGTCGATCTCTTCACAGATCAGGATCTGGATAACGCCATGCAGCGGAACACCAAGCTGACTCTCTTCGTCAGCGTTGCATAAAAAAGCACTTAATTCTTCCCTGGTGTTCGGGTCAACAATAGACTTGCCCTTGATTTCATCGAGGGGGCTATCGTCAACCTCGTAATAATGTTTGCCACGAGTAAGGTTGGTGCATTGGAGTTTTGGGATGACGTATGATCATTCTTTGATTTAATTTCTTCTTTTTCAGACTGGTCATCAGTTCTTTGGGCGATTTCACATGGTCCATGAGGACGAGATCGCGATTTAACGAATCTGATGCGGGATGTACGGCATGGGTTTCCTTTCTATCTTCATGTCTTCATGTCTTCTTCCTTCTTTTTTCTTTGATTTTGTTGTTTCTGCAATGTCGCATTATGGGCTTTTTCATTTTTGTTTCTGCGTCAATTTCGCATCAGATCTACATCTCATCCTGTCCAGGATCATACCCCGGTCTGCCTGCTTCTGTCTTGTGTACATATTTTTTTTTGCTTCTCGTGCATATACCGGGGGGGGGCCTCTTCACACATAGGAGTGGCTCAACCATGGTGTCTCACAACTCCTTTGGTACTAGATATAAATTTTGACATCAAGTTAGAAACATTCATGTTTAAGAGGCAGTGATGTTGAGCCACGTGACACCCTAGTTCCGACTGCTCTTCGACCCCAGGGATGGAATCTACCGGTTGTCCACTAGAATTTTTGTAATTTGTCAAGAGCTGCAGGAGCTGTGGGTTATATGGGTTGAGTGCCAGTGATAATTCGCTATCTGCTGCCTCGGCCCTATGTTAGCTTACGAGAACCCGCCGCCGCTCTCCGGAGGAAAAACAAATCCTTGCCTGCTATGCAATACCTCGGTTAACATCTTCGCATTGCAATCGTTCTCCGCCCGCTAAACCCGACCTCGAATCTACCGTCGCAACGCACCTGCCAAGACAACGTCCAAAAAGGCATGCCAATGAGCCGCCCATCGGCAAAGCTATGTGCAGAGTGCTTCCCGAGCGCGCTGCGGGCGCCTCGGGGCCTCCATCCTACAACATTGGGGGCCGCCACTCGTAGATCTTATGCCACAAAGCGGAGGGCACTCAATACACTGCAACGGCCGACTCGATCGCCGTTGCAATGCATGTCCTCGAAGAGGATCTGCCCCCAGCTGGCTGTTCAATCGCCGAAGGGGCGGGGTCTGGCTACAGTCTCGGACGGCGATAAGAACGCCACCGCTTCGCCACAGGATGGGCCCATGAGGGAATATGATGTGCGCGTGCAGGAGGGGAGACTGAGGGATGATGAGTATCAGAGAGGTAGGTCATGACCAACTCCGACGGACCACAGTTCTAAAGCTGACATGCGCCGATTCTACAGGGATTATCCAAAATCTACAGGACCTCTTTGAAGCGCTGAAAGATTACAATCCGCCCAAGGTTGTTCACCCCAAGCCTGAGTCTCTGGACCCTCAGCAAAAGTCTTCCTTCTTCGGGTCTCTGTTCGGCGGTGGCACGAAGAAGAAGGAAAAGTCAGCTATCCCCGATCACCTTCCGAAGGGATTGTACATGTATGGCGATGTCGGGTGTGGCAAGACGATGTTGATGGATTTGTTCTTCGAAACGCTCCCGCCGAATATCAAGGATAAGACGCGCATTCACTTCCACAATTTCATGCAGGACGTACATAAGCGCATGCACGTGGTGAAGATGAAGTATGGAAATGATTTCGATGCGCTTCCAATGGTTGCAGCTGACATTGCTGAGCTAGCGGGTGTGCTTTGCTTTGACGAGTTCCAATGTACAGATGTAGCCGATGCGATGATCCTGCGACGGTATGTGTTCTCTCCCCGGACGGGGCTTGGTCGAAAACCTAGCTGACAACCTACCAACCAGCCTTCTCGAGATCCTCATGTCCCACGGCGTCGTCCTCGTCACCACATCTAACCGGCATCCTGACGACCTGTACAAAAACGGCATCCAGCGTGAATCCTTCATTCCATGCATCAACCTCCTCAAGACTGATCTGAGCGTCATCAACCTCAATTCCCCAACAGATTACCGCAAAATTCCCCGGCCCCCGGCTGCCGTCTACCACTACCCACTGGGTGAGGACGCACAGCAGCACGCGCAGAAGTGGTTCGAGTTCCTAGGCGACCCTATCAATGACCCCCAACACACAGACTCGCAGGTTGTCTGGGGCCGCGAAATCAAGGTTCCCCGTGCTAGCGGCAAGGCTGCGCAGTTCACCTTCCAGGAGCTCATCGGCTCGGCCACAGGTGCAGCTGACTACCTCGAGCTCGTCCGGCATTACGATGCGTTCATTGTCACGGACGTGCCGGGCATGAACCATACCCAGCGTGATCTGGCGAGACGTTTCATTACGTTCATCGATGCGGTATATGAAAGCAGGGTGAGTAATGAGCCATTTTTCTGTTCACATTTTTGTTAATGATGCAGTCAACTAACAACCCACACCAATAGGCCAAACTAGTCCTCACGACCGAAGTCCCCCTCACAAACCTGTTCATCTCCGAAACCGACGTAAAGAAAACACTTAAAGGTGACAGCGGCGACCACTCAGATCTATCCGACGCAATGCGCAATTTAATGGATGACCTCGGTATGTCCGTGCAGGCGCTGAAGAACACGTCTATCTTTAGTGGCGACGAGGAGCGCTTTGCATTTGCGCGTGCGCTTTCCCGTCTTTCTGAAATGGGGAGCAAGGAGTGGGTGGAGCGCGGGTTGGGACTTGGAAACAGTCCTGTGCAGACTAAGGAGGAGCGCGACGCTTGGCAGAAGACGAGGAGTCATTGGAGTGAGGATAATATGTAGATTCTGCTTGTCCTCCTGTCTTGCCTTTTGTGCACTTATAATGTGCTATCGAGAAGATACCTGTGCACATAGATCGAGTTTGGTGTACATAGCATAGCTTTTCTTAGAATTTTGAAATTATCTTGGGGTTCTCCTAAATTGACCCACAAAACACTTGTACTCGGCTCAATTCATTATGATCTCCAAAATATGTTGGCAACGGACATGACTCCCTGATATCAGGTGACGTCATACTCTATCAAGGTCTCCAGGATAATCGCAGGACTACCAATAAACAAGAAGCTGCAATCCAGGTATGATTTCACGTCATCGGCTACCTGCAATCGACATCGCCCACCATCCCAGTGTCAAGGCCTTGTATTGCCAGTGGAACTCCCCATGATCGACCACCCAGATAACACCGGCAAAAGCTACCGAGCTATAGCTCCCCCTAGGTGGAGTGCAGGAAACTACCCCGCGAATTAAAATGGAGGAATCCTCAACATTTCTTGTCTGATTTGCTCTATTACCGGTTTTCCTGTCGGCATTGGTTGGTAAAGTACCCGGGGTTAGGGTATAGTTGATAGGTCATAATATGGTCATTCTTGCAAAGCGGTTATTCCACCCTGGCTAGACTTATGACTTGGGAAATGGACTTATGGCTGTGTGATTGTACTATCTCATTTTGTTGGCAGATGCGACCTCGCAACTCGAGAGATTACATCATTGACGTCGCACCTGGGGATTGCACAGTGAGCAGATTGATTTTAGTATAAAAATGGGAAAACTCAAGTCGACGCAAACTTTCCCTACTTCCCCTACATCCCCTACTCTGGTTTTCATTCTCTGGTTACTCTGGAATAGTTTATATCAACCGAACACACTACTATGGCAGCAAATTCAAACACCAAGGCTGCAGACGGCAAGCATGCCGATCTACAAAAGGACACCGTCGACGTCTACGCCAAGCAGCACATGACAACCGACCATGGCGTCAAAATCTCCAACCCAGACCAATGGCTCCGTGTCGTAGATGAAAAGAAGACCGGGCCTTCACTTCTGGAAGACCAAATCGCCCGCGAAAAGGTATATCTACGCACCTACATCCATCCACACATACACCGATACACATCCGAGCAAGCAATCTAACCGACAACAGATTATGCGCTTCGATCATGAACGCATCCCAGAGCGAGTAGTACACGCACGCGGAACAGGTGCCTTCGGCAAATTCAAGCTACACGAGAGCGCCGCGGACGTAACAACTGCCGGGGTTCTGACCGACACCAACCGGGAGACACCACTGTTCCTGCGGTTTTCGACTGTGCAGGGTAGTAAGGGCAGCGCGGATACGGTACGCGACGTGCGCGGGTTCGCCATCAAGATGTATACCGCAGAGGGAAACTGGGATATCGTCGGGAATAACATCCCTGTTTTCTTTATACAAGACTCGATCAAGTTCCCTGATGTTATTCATTCTGTCAAGCCTGAACCGCATAATGAGGTGCCCCAGGGTCAATCTGCGCATAATAATTTTTGGGATTTTCAGTATATGCATTCGGAGGTTACACATATGAATCAGTGGGTTCGTATTTCTGTCTTCTGTTGGGGTTGGGGTTACTGATACGGTGTGTGGCAGATTATGTCTGATAGAGCTATTCCGCGGTCGTTCCGGATGATGCAGGGATTCGGCGTGAATACTTATTCCTTGATTAACCAAGCTGGCGAGCGCCATTTCGTCAAGTTCCACTTTACTCCAGAGCTGGGAGTGCACTCGCTCGTCTGGGATGAGGCGCTGAAGATCAGCGGCCAGGATCCCGACTTCCACCGGAAAGACCTAATGGAGGCGATTGAGGCAGGACACTTCCCACGCTGGAAGTTCGGTCTGCAGCTCATCCCCGAAGAAAAGGCCGACAACTTCGAGTTCGACCCTCTTGACGCCACGAAGGTCTGGCCCGAAGAGCTAGTGCCCATCCGCTATATCGGCGAGCTGGAACTCAACCGTAATATCGACGAGTTCTTCCCTCAGACAGAACAGGTCGCATTCTGCACGAGCCACATCGTGCCTGGCATCGACTTCTCCGACGATCCCTTGCTTCAAGGCCGGAACTTCTCATATTTTGACACGCAGATCTCGCGACTCGGACCGAACTGGGAGGAACTGCCCATCAATCGACCAGTATGTCCATACATGAGCCTAGTCAACCGCGACGGCCAGGGCAGACACCGCATCACAAAGGGCAAGGTAAACTACTGGCCGAACCGGTTTGAAGCCAACCCACCCGCGACGGCAGAGCAGGGCGGCTTCGTTAGCTACCCGCAGAAGCAGCAGGGACTCAAGAAACGCGCTTTATCAGATAAGTTCAAGGAGCACTTCAACCAGGCGCAGGTATTCTACAACTCGCTCTCGTCGATTGAAAAGATGCACGTGGCGAAGGCATTCTCCTTTGAGCTGGACCATTGCGATGACCCTATCGTCTACAAGCGCATGACAGAGCGCCTGTCAGCGATCGATCTAAACCTAGCCACGACTGTCGCGAAGAACGTTGGCGGCGATACACCGGTGAAATCTCTAAATGAAAACAGGGGCATTAAGGCCAAAGGTTTGAGCCAGCTTGAATTCATGCCGGAGAAACCCCTCATTTCAACGCGCCGCATCGCCATCCTGCTTGCCGACGGCTTTGACTTCAACCAGTATGCCACGATGAAAGAGGTACTTAGCGAGCGCGGCGCGTTCGTTTTCACAATCGGTGCGCAGCGCCAGGGTGTGACTGCCGAGTCTGGGCAGAAGATTATTCCTGATCACTTCTTTTCTGGGGTGCGGTCAACGCTGTTCGATGCGGTCTACGTGCCAGGTGGGAAGCATATCCAGGCGCTAGTGAAGAACGGCGTCTTCAAGCATTGGATCTCTGAGTCTTTCGCACATCTGAAGGCTATTGCAGGTACTAATGAGGCTGTGCCATTTATTGAGAAGCAAATCGGGCTTCCTGCGGTCGAAGTTGCCAAAACTGGTTCGCCGCTCAAAGAGTCGTATGGTGTCGTTACAGGCCATGGAGATGCGGTTTCATTGTTGAAGGTTGGCACGGTTGGGCCTGATTCGAAGGGACTGGCCGAGCAGTTTATTTGGCAGATTTCTCGACACCGTAATTGGGCGCGCGAGCTGGATGGACTTTCTGATCAGATTGCTGCTTGAGTTGGGGATTTGGTGTGAACCGAATTGGATGTGACCAAGGAAATTGTATTGAAATTGTATCCTTTTGGTTGCAGAGTTGAGAGCCTTTGGATGTTCCTGGTATCTAATTCGTTTTTACAGCCATCCTCAAGGTGGTGGGATCCCACATTAAACCGCTGTAATACACTGTGTAGGTAGCTAGCCTGCATTCTTCATCGGCAACGCAAACTCCATCCGCAAGCTCAGGTAGGGCTGGAGAAAACTTGGCCCTAGAAGATTCCAACACTGTCATGGCCCTTTTGGCAGATCTCTTGAGGCCTATGTATCTCCAGCCCTTGGTATGTGTGCCCAACCCCTTCCCATGTAACATACGTCATCCATCATGGGCTATAGTGTAACTCGTAAAGTTTTACTGTGGTTGGAGTGGAATTATAGGAGCAAGAGAGATAGTCTGTACAAGAATTATAGGACTCACTAGAATAGAAGAGGGATATTTTCGTCAAATCCACTCCCCTAGGAGCTCCCAAGTTAGTTCTTAAAGTTAAGAAATCTATTTATCTACAAAGTATTCGATATTAACTAGATTTTGTGCCTTAACAAAAGCCTTGTAAGCTCATGAACTGAAGGAGCATAGTAAGCAATTCTATCTATACATCCGTAGTAGCTCTACCGAACTCCGAAATAGCTAGTTATCTACTTTCTAACATATATATATATATATGTTCAATACAGTTGATAAGTCGGATTAGGGTAGTTAATGTCGATATGACACGAGGCCTAATGTTGCAGGCTCCCCCCTGTGTGCCTCGAGAGTTAGGTTTCGGCACTCTTGAAAACGCCTCAGTTGTTATTTTAACAACATCACTACTACAGAGAAACCGAACCAGTTTAGTCCAAGAAATCACCAAAACTCTCCATAATCCTCCACCTCCCGCGTACCATGTCCTTTACATGCCTGCCACCGACCACATTTCAGGAAGAGTTACACTGCAGGAATATTCCACCGGCCGCGTTCCGAACTAAGATTGGAAAATCAGAAGTACTCATGTTCTCGCAGCGAACAATGTCCTTTTTATCAATGGTAGGCTACGTTCCAGAACTTTTGCCTCGTTTCAATCCTTCTCTTCTGCTATTGGACCTCCGCAGTCATGGTTCTTCATCTATCACGCTCGACACGGCTGAGCATAGTGATTGGCATCTCGACCTGTTTCTTTCTGGCTGAGATTTCGTGTTAGTTGCCCTTTCTTGGCTTTTGTGATAGTGGTTCTGGTACGGACTTGTGATATGCTGATACGGGGCTAGTGGGCTTCTATACCCACTCAATCTCCCTGATTGCGGATGCTTTCCATTATGTAGGTGGTTGTGGTGGAGTTGGGGGGGGGACGGGGTTTTTTCTTTGGCTAACATGGGTTACAGCTGAATGATCTAGTTGGGTTTATTATTGCACTTGTTGCATTAAAGGTACAGTTGTGGTAGTGGTTGTGTGTTGGTGGTCATACTGATGTGAAATGTAGAAATCCGAGCGCGGCGACTCGCCCAAGGAGCTCACTTTTGGTTGGCAGCGGGCTCAGCTGCTCGGTGCATTTTCCAATGGCGTTCTTCTGTTTGGGTTAGGCATCAGTATCCTTTTTCAGTCCATCGAGCGATTTGTTGCTCTACACAGTGGGTGCCATCGCCCATGTTGGAAGTTGATCTTGTCTGGTCATACCTGACGGTGTACCTAGATGTTGATAATCCCAAGATGATGTTCATCACCGGGTGTGTCGGATTGGCCCTGAATCTCATTAGTGCAGTCTTCCTTCACGGTACGGTTCCTGGGGTCCTCTTTGTGTATTACGCTAACGGTGTCTAGAACATGGACATGGACAAGAACACGGGCATAACCAGCGTCTATCACCCACAGTTGAGATCCCGATTCTGCACCTTGACGAAGAAGATTATGATTCTAGCACCCAAGTAAGCTGCGTCAATCTAGTGGAGACCGACTGACACAGTTAAGCATCACGATCACAAGCATCTTCATTTCGAAAAACATCACTGCGCAGATTCAGGCAGCCATAGCCATGGTCATGGTGGCCACGACCACGGTGATCTAGGCATGATGGGAGTGATGATCCACATTATCGGCGATGCAATCAATAATCTGGGCGTCATGGCAGCGGGTCTCACTATCTGGCTCGCTACACCCCATGCTGGCCGATTCTATGCTGATCCCGGCGTGAGCATGTTTATTGCCATCCTCATCATTCTGTCGTCGTTCCCTCTGAGTGAGTGTATGCACAATAAGGGCACACTTCAATCGTGCAGCTGACACCATCTAGTGCGCCAAGCTGGGATCATCCTGCTAGAGAGCGTGCCCACTGGAGTTGACATGTGTGATGTCCAACACGACCTAGAAATGGTATTTCAACTCCTCCTCCTTTCTACTTGTTTCTATTCTATCCTAACAATCACCAGATCAAGGGTGTCAATTCAATCCACGAACTTCACATCTGGCGCCTCACCCAACTAAAGACCCTCGCCTCGGTGCACGTCGTCGTTTCTGAGGACTCAGTCGGGGACTTTATGAAGACAGCGCGTGTGATTCATGAGTGTTTCCACGCCTATGGAATCCACTCCATTACACTGCAGCCCGAGTTGGAGGATGTTGATGAGGTGCCGCATGAATATCCCCGGTGCCAGGTTATCTGCGGGACAGAGTGTGCGTCGTTGACTGGTGGATAAGTGAACTAACCACAAGTGAACTACAAGTGAACCATTTCCAACTATCATGGTATCATCATTTTAAAACCGAATACAACTTCCATTAACCAGTCAAGTGGTCGAGCAGTAACTTGACCATCACATCTTCCTTGGTCTAGTGGTGATGATTTCCGCTTGTCATTAACTCCGATAAGCGCGGGAGACCGGGGTTCGATTCCCCGAGGGAGAGATTGTTTTTTTTTTTTGGTCGGTATTGTCATACTTGAGTGAATGATCTATGTTGCATTGTCTTCGAAGGACGGTTTATTTGTTGAAAATGTTACTCTCAGTATCACAACCCAAACTGGAGTATTAGGTGGGTTTGATTCTACTAAAATTGGTGTATGCAGCGTCCCGAAGACCGAAGACCTAGATACTTGAATATATATACCATGGCCGAAATCCCAGATTAGTCTACGAATCTAACACAGTCCAAGCTCTTCAACCAACCTAGGGACAGCCATCAACAAGTGCGGACATTTTTGGTCTACGCAGTTTCCACTACTTTTGATTTTGATTATATCTTCCAAGGCATCAGGATGGTTGAAAGGTCACCATAGGGGATAGGGGTCGCTTCAAAGCATCTCATGCTTCACATGCCTGTGCGACCTGCAGAGCGAGAAAGAAGTGGGACAAGCTGCTGCCAAAATATGGATATTGTATCAGGTAAAGTCACCACGTCGCCAAAAGATGGACTGTTACTGGAGCGAGGTCAGGAAACCCGTAGCATCGGTCTGCGCAAACAACCACCTGCGAATCCCAAATGGCAATCTTGTTCAACATCTGCCATCTTGTGCGTCTGGCAGTCGATCCCATCAGAGCCGGCTGTAGCAGATGCTAGTCTGTATCACCAGATCCCCCAACTGATTCATCAAACGGGGCAGCTCGTCTCAGCGCTCGCTTTTTCCAAGGTCCGCACCGCCATCTCCCAGTTTGCTCCCGCCCATAGTTGTCCAGTGACCTCATCACGTCATGGGCTATTTCCTCGGTGACTTTTCGGCTCTTTTAATTGACCATCCGTCCCACTGCATATGTTGCTCATGCCGACCAGCAAACCCTCCGACGCACTATAGACCGTCTAGTTGCCCTCGTGCAGGAGTCCCGTCCGATCTCCATCCCCCTGATTCAATCGTGTCTCCTACTAGCCGTCTACGACAGGTGACCAAAGAACGGAGCACAGTCCACTGTGGGGTGTGCCCGCAATGGCCTATGCCGCCCGTCCTCATCTTCACTACCTTCCTGCATATCGAAAAGATGCCGGAGGTCCTAGTGCCAATATCGAAGCGCGCTCGGATCCGGATGATTTGCTGCGAGCAAGGGAAGCGGCCAATATCCAGCGAGGGATAATCATTTGTGAGAGGCAATGCTACCTCTTCAGAACACCATCCCATCGATGGTGCTAAATCGGTCCGGCGGCCAGGGTCTTCTTTTGTGAATTGGCCGTGTCCGAGCTACCATCAGTAACCACCATCCCCAATGGCGATGTCCTGCTGCCGATCGAGCCTGAATTTATCACCGGGAATCTGTCTGCATCAGGATGTCATTTTCTGCACTGGTTCTTCCGACATCGGGGGCTTCGGTCGCGCCGCCCAAGCCGCTTGGCTTCTGGACCAAGTCTTTAAGGCACTCGAGGTTCCAAGCCTGCGTTCCGGGCTCACTCAGCTTTGAGTTCTAGAGATCAAGATCCAGACCTTCATGGGGGTCATCATGCAGCCATGCTATGCCAACAAGAAGCTGACCGACTTTTGTCAGCCGATTGCCACCACTATCCAGTCAGTCCACCCCAGAGGGTTCTCTCTTTCTGCTAACAACCTCCCCCCCCCCAGAGAGCGTTGTTTATAATGCATTGGCATATCCACAGGCAAGCCTCGCAAGTTCTTGACCCCAAGTATCGGTCGCTCGAAGACTGGCGGAAGCGGTCGCACACTGTGCTGGAAATTGCGACCACTTTTGTCTGGGCATCGCTGAAGCCCACAGAAATCCCGACAGGGTGCTTCCCCGCTACTCAGATGTTATACAAGCTGCGCTAGAGCACATATGTGTCAAACCGGATTGAAATGGCGACAGCGCGCTGCGAATTGGCTTCGCATATCACTGCATCACGTCCACCAATTCCCGAAGAGTATATAATCAGCAAGACGTCTCTCAGATAAGAACTCCACTCGGCCAGGGATGTGGCCTTAAGATAGGTCATTTGAAACTCGAATCCGAATCCGAATCCGATTCCGAGATAGCCAAGGTCAGATGGTCTGCGGGGAAATGCGTTGTGCCTTGTGTCTCCCCTCTTTCTCATGTTCAAGTTTAACCCTGCCCCCAAATTCCTATCTTTCCATTTCGGCTTTCAACCATTACTCAACATGACTCGTGATTGGCAGAGTCAAGCTCAAAAAGGCAGAGATATTTTAGCCAATTCTATTCCAAAGCAATGGCTTCTCCCAGTTGACAGACTGCCGCCGGTCTCGCAGAAGAGTGTGGTTGACTTCCCCCAGCAAAGCGGGCTGTTCAATGAGCGTGAGCTCCATATAACTGAACTGTCGGCTACCGCACTGGTGACTGAAATGGGCAATGGAAAGCTGAGCGCGGAAGAAGTGGTCGTTGCATTCTTGAAGAGAGCCGTGGTGGGCCATCAACTGGTGAGATTAGAAGACTCCGCTTTGGTCATTCTCGCGCTGATGGACTGGTCAGCTCAATTTCGCAACGGAATTCATGGCCGATGAGGCAATCACTCGCGCCAAAGAGCATGATGAGTACTATAGAAGCACAGGAAAACTAGTCGGACCTCTGGTAAGCTCAGATAACCATGCCTGTTGACTTTGACACTGGCACGATTCTGACGACACAACGGCAGCATGGCATACCAATCAGCGTAAAAGAACACGTCTCCATGAAGAACCGAACATGCAACACGGGATATGTAGCTTGGTGGGTATTATATCACCACAAGAAAACCACACTGCTAACAACCAAAAACAGGGTTGATGAAGTCGCCACAGAAGATGCATTTCTTCTCCAACTCCTGTCCAAAGCCGGTGCCATTTTCCATGTGCGGACAAATGAACCCCAGTCATTAATGGTCTGTCCACACACTTCACATTAGCAGTGCATATCATAACCAATGGCATTTAGCACCTGTGCTGCAGCAACAACATCACCGGGACAACATTAAACCCCCTCAACCGCACTTTAAGCCCAGGCGGCTCCTCTGGCGGTGAAGGGGCATCGATGGGATTCCGGTGCGCGCCACTAGGAATTGGAAGTGACATCGGCGGATCAATTCGCTGCCCCGCAGCGTTTTGCGGTGTGTATGGTTTCCGTCCTTCCACGCTGCGGAACCCTGTAACAGGACTCAAAGCTGCTGCCTCGGGCCAGGAGACAATCCGCGGTGTGATAGGTCCAATGGCCAGTTGCTCGATGGAGGATCTAGAGCTGTTCCAGAGAGCTGTGTTGGAGCAAGAGCCTTGGGGCATTGAAACGTCACTGATGCCTGTGCCATGGAAGACGGTTGCTCCGACACGGGATATGACTGTGGCTATTATGTGGGACGATGGGTGGGTCGTGATCCAACCAAACGTCTGGTATCGGTGTGCTAATCCATATCCAAGCTGCGTACGCCCCCATCCACCCATCACTCGCGCTTTGAGACACGCCAAGCAGAAGCTGGTAGCGGCAGGGGTAAACGTCGTAGACTGGAAGCCGTATAAGCACCGACAGGGCTGGGAAATTATTGTAAGTCCAAAACTCTACTCTAGTCTTATATGCTATAACGCTAACATGGGTCAGTCCGCTTTATACTACCCGGACGCCGCCAGCAAGCAACGCGAGGTTCTTGCCAAATCAGGAGAGCCCGCATGTCCCCTTACAGATTGGGCTTTTACCTATAGCCGGAGCACGCCTCTTTCTCATCCCGAAGCATGGGCTCTGCACATCCAACGTGATATCTATAGGGACGAGTATCACGCTCTCCTCAATCGTCGCGGTGTTGACTTTATTCTCTCCCCGACCTACCCCGCTGCCGCGGCGGTGATGGGTGAGTCGCAGTATTGGAATTACACTGCGGTTTGGAACTTGGTAGACCTGCCTTCTGTGGTCTTCCCATCTGGAATCACTGTCGATCCGAAGGTAGATGTGTTGACGGGGGAAGATAGGGAGTATGTTCCCAGGGATGAGGTTGACAAGAGGGAATGGCGGAAGTACCAAGATCCGGAGAGGTACGAGGGCGCGTTGGTGGGACTCCAACTTTCCGGGAAGCGGTTCAAGGACGAAGAGACCCTAGCTGCGGCTAAGATTGTTGAAGAAATCGTCAGAGAGGAGAAATGCTCGAAGGATTGACGTGGCAGTGGAGATGAACTGCTTAGGTTACTTTCAATCTTAACATACATTCTTATATCAACCATGTCTCTTCGTAGCAAAGACCATAGCAAGCGGCGTAGCAGTCTTCACTTTCTTCCCCTCCAAAGCCCTTTCCATCTCATCCCAAAGCGGATTTATGTCCGACTCGGACACCTTTGGGGTTGTCCAGGTAGATGCATAACCCTTAAACCAGCCATAGTCCTGCTCATCCATCCAATCCGCATCCTCCTCCTCCCAAACAATATGCTCCCCATCCCTAACCTGACTTTCACCAATTCGATCATTGATCCGAAATGCGTCCATGCTCCCCCGCGCATTAACATACAACCGTTTAACCTCCTTCCAATCCTCCCCGGGGAACCCGAGAGCCTCAGTCCCAGAGTTCAGAATCCTCAACGCGTGATCAAGCATTGGATCATGAACCTTGCCCGCATAAAACGCACATAAGGCCATCCAAGCCCTCTGAGCCCTCTCATTCCCAACAATGCGCGGGTAATTATAGTGCGTGATAACAAGCGTCCCGCCCGCGCGTAACTCCCGCGCAAACTCTGCAATCGCAGTCTCCGGTCTCGTCCAGTGGATGCACTCACATGCCATGATCAAGTCGACCGAGCCCGATTCCACAGAGCTTCTTTCGGCACTTTCTTGCAGGAATCGGAATTTAGATTCGGGCAGACGGGATTCCTCGACAAGGAGTCTACGAGCCAGCGCGGTGTACCCGTCATTGGGGTCTGAAACGATCACCGTGTTGAAGCGGGGGGCTAGACTTGACGAGATGACTCCACAGCCGGCGCCGATGTCTTGGGCGAGGGACCAGGTGGAGTGGGGCTTTTGGGAGTGATAGGTGAAGACTTTTTCGAAGAAGGATGGTGGGTAGATTGGTCGGAAGGTGAGGTAGTCAGACCAGTTCACGCCTTGATTGGCGTTGAAGCCGTACTCTCTGGTAGGATCGGTTTCGTGGGATGTCATTGTTGATATGGACATGTGGGAAATATGGTTGGAATGAGGGTGTGAGGTAATGCTTTGACTGATGAATGATAGACTGGGATAATAGGTGGGGGGGGGGGGGGGGGGGGAGTATTTATAGTCCTCAAAGATCTCCTTTGTGTCATTTGAAGGGCCCTAAGACAACTATAGGAACGAGCAAATGTGTTGTCTTCCCGGAATTGACGAAACGGACTACGTCGATTCGTTCGACTTTGGGAATTTTTGAAAATCTTCCAAAAATAGAGGTCCTAATGGAGAAGTTCAATAAGATCTCTTAAAGGTCTCGGAGAACATCGGTCAAATCGATCTCGGATCTCGGGGTTCATTTTTTTTTTAACATAGGCCTTGTCGCAACTAGATCTATCATATTCGAGTTGCCTTGTATACTTTATTTACTTTATATACTCTCTCGGGACTTTCTCCTTAATTTCCATCTTGTCCCCCTCGTCTGGAACATCTAGTTATGCTCGAATTTTCTTGACTTCAACCTCGAGCTCTGTACAAGAGTGGGGTTAGTGGAGTCATGGAGTTGCCCCTTGTCGGTGATCTTCAATAGCGCCCTGGACGATTTCCCTACGCAGGATAAAGAGGGCCTTTTTTTTTTGAAGATCGAAAGGCACTGGAGCAGTAGGCATATTTGACGTCCCTTTGCTTTTCTTTCTAGCAGTCCGCGGGGGTCAAATGCAACCATTTAAATATGGAAAAGATCCCCCTTTCAGTCCTAACATCTCCAACCCAACTCAGCTCTCAAATCCCGTAGTTGACCTAATCTGACCACCATCCTCCCCAAAATTCCCAGGATCCAGCCATTTCTCCATGCCACCCTTCAATACATCATCCCACTCATCTTTCAACATTGAAAACCAAGCTGTATCCCGATCCCTCCCCTTGATAATCAAATGCTGTCGAAAGATCCCTTCTAGCGAGAACCCCAAACGATGTTCATTCAATTCCCTGAATGATCACAGGAATTGAGAGTGAAGTGAGCAAACGAAGGCCCAAAGAGTCGAATCCATTTGGATTAGTTCGAGACATGTACCGTTGGTAAGTCTACAGTCTACAAGTTCTTAGAACATGCAATCTCACTGCATAGAAGAACTAAAAGGAAGGATTGCCCATGTCCAAGTTCACTTCTGCGCCCTATCCCTGCCCCACATTTCAGACGATAGCTAGACCTCGACACATTTCCTTTGGCATTCGATTTCCACACAAAATCTTCGGAACGCTATTCATGGGGATGTTCGCGTTGGGTTCCGGTAGGGGGGTTCCTTGCAGTGGCAGCAGTTCCAACAACTTCAGTTCGGAGGCCGATTCTGCGATTCAGGATTTTTTTTTGGGGTTCCAGATCAAGTGCCACCGTTTCCCATCGGAGTCTCCTTAACTAGAGCGTTCGGAAATGACCAGTGAGATGCTTGCAGTGCTCAACTAGTCCGAGTCAGCCCACTTTTCTTCCCAAATCTAATCAATGTACATCCACACAATTAACGTGGGCAATCAGGTCCTGTCCATCATGTGTCTCGCCCATTGTTACCTATGATATCTGACACTGAGAGGTCTGCCTTACAGATCAAGCTAAGGCTGATCGGGTGGATGGGGCCTCTCTATTCCCTCTTCCTTTCCGGTCTCTTTTTCTTTCTTGCTTTGCCTCGCCATTTGAAATCCCCTCTGATACCCTGCCTAATGCACTCAAGTCAGAGCATAGTTCTATGACCTTTGAGCTCATTTGATCTATCTGCGAGACACCAAAAACTAAACTTGTGAAACCCCAGCGCTGAGCAGGTTGGACTTGGGGCAAAGTGATCTCCTGATCAATCTTAACGATCAATGAACTGTCTGTAATCGACGAGCCCAATGCAAGTTAAAACCGTTAATACCGATCCCACGAGTCTCGGAAGTAACAGATCCTGAATTTAAAGCTAAAAGACCCTGTCTCAAATCAAATCAATATCTCCTTTCCCCTCTACGACCCTCCCTCATCTGTTCTCCTACCCGGTCTCTCACCCCTTCACATGAAACAAGGAAGATGTGCCTTGGAGCAACCCTGACTTGCAAACTTTGTAAAAAGTCGTTCAATTTAAGCGGTATCTGTTGGAGTGATATGTTGGGCCTGGGTCACTGTAGAACAAGGCCGAAGACGAGACGTTTGGAGAGATCGTCGGATCTTCAACGGAGTCCAGTCAATTTTTTTCTGTGAGCATTATCATCCAATACATTAAATTCAATCCCCAAACGAGGGCACATAAGTACATCCATCAATTAACATGTCCAGGTTCCTGGAAAGCGAGAGCAACGAGCATAAAAATCCAACAAGAGCACTATCATGACAATATTTCCATCAAAAAAAAATCAAGGGAACATTCAACACCTGATATTTCAAAAGAAAGCTCAGGTCCGAGGAACTCGACGAGAGCCGGGAAAGCCCAGCTAGCAGGGAAATGACCCCTCCTCCGCCACCCCCCAAAAGAACGGCAAATAAATCATCAGAAAACGCGAAACAGAAATCATCGTAATCATTTACTTGCGCCAGAACATCGCTTTTCCGGCAACCCTACCAGCACTCCAGCGAGCCTCAGCAAATTTGTCTTTCCAGGATGCACCGCCGCCATAACGCACAGGACGGGCGGAGGCCGCTCGAGACTCAGAGGTAACCCCCACACTCGAACCACCGAAAGAGCTGGGGGCGAAGTTTGTCATATTTCCGGCATCAAACTTCGTCTTTCCTTCCACGATCATCTGAACGACGTTCAAGATGGCATAAGCGGTAGAGCCAATAGCACGAATACCGGCGAGAACGGCGACCGACCACAAGATGATGGCGAGGTAGATGTTTGTACCACCTGCACCGATACCATAGATTTCGGACACAGCCATGCCGAGGATTACATTCGCAACCATCCAGATGGAGACCATGTAGGTACGAACGGCGCGATAGTAGTCCTCCTGCAACTGGGAGTCGGATGGCGGGGGCTCTGGGACCTCGAGGCGATCCCGAAGGTTGCGGAGGGCCGCGTCGTAGCCGGAATCGATGTCGAGTTGCTCGGAGGGCATTTCGACGACGACGGTCGAGCCGTTGATGGTCTTCGCTGCACCGAGATCAGTGTTGATCACGTTGTCACCTTTGGTTCCCCAGGTTACGTCGTGGGTGTTGCAGAATGCGTAGACTTGGAGGATGCAGATGTAGCTGGGCATGAGGAGGAAGTATTGGGCCGAAGAGGTGAACATATGCCACGGGTCCAAGTACAGGAAAGAGGCGTAGAAGTAGAGGCCGACAGTTGACAACAAGGAAATCACAATGTTCATCATCAGGCCGTCCCCGACGTCCATTTTATCTTTTCCGATGCCCGCACGTGCGAGTAACTCTTTGACCACCAGGTAGAGGGCGCAGAAGACTGTGTAGAACATGATGATGGCGTAGACAATGATACCAGAGAGATAAAGGTTTTTGGCCCTAAAAAAAATTCACGTTAGCAAAATTGTAGTGTGTGTGAGGGAAGTCGTGTGAACCTCACCCTTGTGGTCGGTTACCCAACGAGATGATGAACTGCAGACACATAACCAGAATACAGGCATAACGCAAAACAATGAAGATGTATTTGCCCATGTTGTGACCAAACGGATCAAGCTTCTCATCAGTCAAAGAGCCAGCAATGAAGTAGAACGCGAGGTAGAAATTGGCCTGTAGAAAGTAAGTCGATGCACACCACCAGAGAAAAGAGGGAAGAAGACTCACAAGACCAAAGTAAGTAAACACCAGATTAAGGAATTGATAAAAGAACTCGATGTGAAGCAAGATCTTGCGGGCAAGAGTGTGATCCGTCTTCCAGATCTGCTTGGCATTGAAGATCGAGTACACAGCCGCGAAGAAAGCACCATTCAGCCACCTTCGGCGCTGGGAGATAAATTCAGGAACCGTGTCTGGCACATCAGTCTCTCCAACCGCGTTCTTGACAAACTTGAGCACCCATCTCTCTTCACGCTTGGCAACCAACTCCCAGCAAAGAATACGATCTTCGGCAAGGTACATATTGGCAGTGAAAACGTCTGCATCTTGACCGTGGAGGGTTTCACCCTTGAAATATTGGTTGAGAGGGCCATGGCCATCTGCGTCGTTTTGCAAGGCAAAGAATCGATAAGCACTGAGCGCACCGGGCAACACCGTAATGTAACCGAAGACCGATTCCAGAGGTTTATCGAGAATATTGGACATTTTGTATTCGAAGTTCTGACTTGCCACCAGAGGGTTGAGCAGACCGAGCATGTTCTTACCCTTAGCGGCCTTGATCTCCCCAGCAGCGCCGGCAACATTGGAGTCCTGATCGAAGGCCTTCCACAAATGGTACAGCGCCATTGGCTCTGGTCTTGTTCCGACATCGAGCAGAATACAGATATTGGGCTGCAGAGCACGACCGAAAGCATTGAAGAACCACCGGTGAGAGTTCAGTTTCTTCTTGTTGTGCTCCTTCAAACAGAAAATGACCTGACACGGAACAATTCCCTTCTCAGCCCCCTTGAATTTGAGATCATCATCAAGCGAGACCTGCGTAGTGTACTCGTACACGTGTGCCTGCACTTCCTTTTGATTGACAATATTCTTCGCAATACCCTCCTGGTAAACCCCCAGGGCGGCCAATGCATTCAGCGTACGCGGGTGGACTTTTTTACGGCCATCAGCGACGATGCAAACAACGATCTTTTTCCATCCATCACGGCCCCAAGTGCGTGATTTGGTTCGCGAGCAGAAGTGGCTGATATTCCGCATAACACCGTGCATGGTACGAGTGAAACCAATCTCATCTTCGTTGTACATGGTAATACAAATAAACAACTCGGTCTCGCGCGTCGTGGTACCAATCTGTTGGCGAAGCTTATATCCCCGTTCACCGTACTCATCCGGATCGGACGTGACAGCGGTATATCGCATGTGGGTGAATTCGCGCTCGTCACGCCGAGGCAGGAAGCTGTGAAGGATGGTGGGGATTTTGCACTCCAAAATAAGCTCGCCATTGACTAGCTGAACTTCCTTTTTCGCGACCTGCGTGGATCGAACACCACGACGGCCCTGTTTATCGGGTGCCGGGCCATAGTGGAGGTTGGGATCCAGAATGTGCGATTCATCGTCATCTTCATCGTCGAGGTCGACTTTTGACATAGCATCTTTCTCATCTCCTAACATTGTCGACTCGCTCATGAATGATCGGACGCTGCCCCGCGAGGTGTGATGAAATGTGCGGCCATTACCACCAAATGGATCTTCCCCATGAGCATCGCCAATGTCGATGCTAGTATCGACTGTTGATTTTGGTCCGGAGAACAAAGGCGCAGGAGGCAATGGTCGACGAGGGCTACCTCCATATCTTGAGCTGGGTGTACCGGGCCGCGGGCTGCCGTTCAGATCTGCGCGTTCATAACCAACACTTGACACGGAAGGTGGTCGGATGTGTGATGGGCTCCATGGGCGAATGGGAGATCCTGTGCGTGGGGGAATCGATGGGTAGGCGGAGGTGTTTCCAAGGTTTGCTGTGGGAGGCGGGATACTAGGTCCGCTGGCCAAGCTGGATGGTGGACGTGAAGGCGAAGAGGCGCTGGGCATCTCGTAATAATTATCATAGCGTTGATCATGTCCGGTCCTAGAATTGCGCGCCCTGATGTTAGACCTTGGTCTTGGTAGACGTTCCATTTTGCCTCGAAGCTGGAAGGAAGAGGGCCCATGTGGAGGTAGAGTGGAGGATCAAACAAAAAAACAATGCGCTGGAGTACTAATTTTACAACGTTTTAAAGGGAAGATGATGGACCAAAAAAAAAAAAACCAATAGGAAGGATTTGGCTCGAGCCCAGTTTAAAAAAAAAAGCCCATTAAACGAGCAGTTGCCCAAGGCACAAGATTTTTCCCAGCCTCTCCATCACGTCAATGAAGGAGTTTGATATGGTGGTACACGTAATTCTATCGTGAGGGGAAACCGCTGGAATGTGAAACACGCAGAGGAGTGGTATAGGAAACAGTTGGGAAGTACATACGGAGTGTGCTCATAATCAGGGTCATAATGAGGAGGCGAAGGAGCCCTATGGCTACTAGCTATATCATCGGCGCCGTCGCCACTTGGCAACAAGCGCATCGTTCCTCCATTGAGACGCGAAGTGGTAGTTGGAGAATCAGGATCGAACAGATAGGAAGCCGTGTCGTGGTTGAGGTATGCTGGCGGCGCGTCGCCGTAACTGAATGGCGGATGGCGATTCATCGCAGTCCGTGGAAGATGTTTTATTTTGGAACTTACTGCCTCATCCTATGGCACCTGAGGTGATTACCAATGAGATAACGATGGTAATCTGTCCCTCTTGAAGATCAGACAGAGTGGTCGTGAATCTGTTTGATTAGAGAACAGTTGAGGGCTGACGAAAAGAGGAATATGAGGACAATGTCTAAAAGCTCGGCACACAAGCAAGACGAAGAGGAGAACGGGATAATACAAGAGTAAAAAAAAGAATCGGCTAGGCAAACACGTCCAGGCCGTTCAGATCCGTCGCTTTGCATCAACAAGGTGGAGGTGCATGTGGTTGTCAGGGCAACGTTGAATTGGGTTGTCAGTTCCTCCGAATCAGCACGGAGAAAAGGTGGTAGAAAATCATAATTAATCAAATAGATTAAATCAATCCATGCATGCAATATTCTGCTGTCCCACTTGATTCATATTTTCTCAATATCAAACCAATGATTTAATATCATGTTCAATACCTACGATCATTCCCCGTCTCGGTGGGTCGATGTATTTTCACATGAGTGCGCCACTTGATCAAAACTAGTTGTATTAATCCAGGGAATCACATAAGAATGCATGATTCTGCCAAAAGGAAGACTTGGTTTTGCAGATCTCTCCAATCTCCATACTTTCCCTCTCCTTGTCTTTTGTTGCCTCTCGTCATCGTTCGCCCAGTACAATCCTAAACATGCCCCAACGACCGACTAGTCAAGTTAGACTGATCACGGCATTGGGTTCTGAATGCTAGCATGAGGACATGCTCACACTCCCTCACGGAGCAGTGGCTCTCTCTCTCGGTCTGCCGACTCAGGATGAGCAACGCGACGGAAGAGGCTGTCGCGACCAGTGTACTTGGTCGTGGAGATGTAAAGAGAGACGACCAACAACACGGCAAAGACAGTAAAAGCAAAGATCCACTGCAGCGCAATGATCTTGATAGCGATTTGTCTGAGTGCGAGTGCTGGAGTGATTTATATCAGCCAAGGACTCGAAGGAAGAAGTTGAAAAAAGCAAGGAACCCTTACACAGCGTCAACCAGCTCAAACAGTACCCAAGGATGTAATCCTCCCGGAGAACGATATCAAACAGTCCAATCGCGAGAATCACCCAAATAAAGATATTAGCAAGGATCCGACCAGGCAGGTTATGGCTGTGAACAGCGACCGCGCCATTCCAGAACAGCGCAGTCAGTGTCCAAGCATAAGGACCAGCGACGGCGGGCAGGTGCACGAATGCTGGCAGGCCGCGGTGACGCCAATAGGTCACCGTCTGATTGATCAAATGGGCAATGAGGATGATCTCTGCGCCCCAGAAGTGGTTACGAGTCCAGAGGAGGATCCAAGCGGCGAGGAAGAGGTTGTTCAGAATGAAGTGGGTGGCGACGTTGGCCGCTGCCGTGACGAGGACATTGTTCTTGGAAAAGAGGTGCCAGACATAGCTGAGCTGAGATAGGAGAAGAACGATCCTATAGGGGGGTTAGTTTGTGTATATTCAAAAACACTACCACCTCCAAGATAGGCATTGTTGGAGTTATTTTAGGTTAACTAACCAGAAAACTCCAGTCACAGTTGTGTTCTGGCTGAAAGGCGTATTATGCTTATTAGCCTGCTTCCAAAGCTTCTTGCCCTTAGTATCGTCAGGTGAGTGAACGGAGTGGTAGATCCCGACCACCACCATCAGAGCCCAGGTGAGGGGTACAAGGACCCGGTAAGTGTTCAGCGAGTTGGCGCTATGAGTTTCGCGTCTAGCGAACGGGTTGAATGATGCCATGGTGGATGTATTACCCAAGCTGATGGAGCCGAGTAAAGTGGAAAGGAATCAAAGGTCTAGAGGAAGGGAGTCTTTTAAGCAAGGATAAAGAATGGATTCCCCGCATAGGGTCATCAGACCATTTCAACCGGGAAACAGAAATGATGTAGAGGTCAGTTATGGTGATGACATCAACGTATTTTTTTTTTTGGTCTCTTCTCCATATTGTTCATGTTGATGACTATAACCTACAAACTTCACTCCCTTAAATGGTAAAAGAAATCTTAATCATTTCTTGTCAAATTTCCCTTTTTTTTTAAATTTCACTCAAAATTTGTGTGTTTCTTTTGAAACGGGACTACGCACCAGCTCAGTTTGTTCGAGTGAGAATGAACTATAAAACATGGCGCCACTTCTGCCACGCGTAGATCATCGTGCACAGTCCCATTTGATGCCAAGATCTACTTGAAATCAATGTGTATGGAAGTGTACAAGGTAGCAGTAGGCAAATTCAGAACTCAAAATGCTTGAGTCATTTTTGCTGGGCGTAGGACCTTGGAAGATGAAAATCAAGGAAAAATGAGACCCGTAATTGTGTCTTAAAAAAACGTTGGTAATAGTATGAAACACACAAGGCGCGAAGTACACCTTTTCTACTAGTAAAAAATGAGATGGAGGAATATGTATAACAGCCACGATACTCGCTTGTAAATCTGAACAGGGCCAGTGCTCACGCTTCATGCCGGTAGAAATAAGAGTATACATTACGCACACTACGTACACGACGTACATGGCACGAGTATCAACAGTGAACATGCCAATGATATGATTGTCTAGGGTATCAAAATCAATATGCAAAAGACAGCAAGAAGCCAAAAAAAAAGACCACACCATATGTAAAGTAAGGAGGAAAAGATCACACCCCCCGCGCCTCTTTCACAGCCTCCAAAATCTTCCCATGAACCGAAGCTGGCCCAACAACCATACCATGACACCCAGCCAAAGTACGACCCAGCGAACAATCAACAGGTCTTCCCTCAAGATCCGTAACAATACAACCCAGTTCCTGTACAATAAGCATGCCACCCGCATGATCCCAGATCTTCGAGCGATAATCCGGACTCAGCGGCACCTTCACAAAAGCATTGCATCCTCCCTGTACAGCAATAGCAACATAACGCATCTGCGCCGACCACAAATCCACCGGATTCGGCCATGGACAGCCAAGTTCTGCTGCCACACGGGCATGAGCCTCGAGATTCTGCGTCTTCGCGGCACGCGTATCAATGAATCGCACACCGGAAGCCCCAACTTGCGGGACATTTTCCAGCGGGCGCGCCGGCAGCAAAGCCCCTGGACCCATAGGTCTGATGGTAGCGCCCTGCCCGGCAACGGCGGAGATCATCTGACCAAGACCGTCGCGGTCGACCCGCTGTTCAGAGACGGGTCCCGACGCTAGGAGATTAGGGCAGCCGAGGACGCCGATTTTCTGGATACCGTTTTCGACTAGTGAGAGACAAACTGCGTACTGCTCACCGCGGATAAAGGTTGCTGTTCCATCCACGGGATCTAGAGTCCAGGTCCTGCTGGTGGGGGTGCAGGCGCCTTTGGCGCCAAGGTCGATTAGGTCCAGGAGTTCGGAGGTGGTGCGTGGGGTGTGGAGAAGAGCTTCGCTCTCTGGGTCATTGAGGTGGATGCTGGTTGCCAGGTCCCAGGTTCTTGCGAGGAGGTCTGGGTTTGAGCGGAGGGCTGTGGCATCTTCTTCGCCGACAATGTCGTCGTCTGGGAAGACGTTGTGGATGGCTGCAATTATTGAGGCTTGGGCGGCGAAGTCGGCAATTGTTACGGGTGAGGCGTCGCTCTTGTCAAGGGCGCCTTTATCGACAGCAGAGAGCAGCTCTTTTGTCAGGATGGCTGCTCGTTGTACGGCCAGGCTGGCGAGCTGGAGCTCTTTGGCGTAAGGGGTTGAGGTGGTCATAGTGGGCGGTTGAAGGGGGTGGTTTATGGGGAAGGTTTGGGATAATTAATCCCAAATTGGGATATCTGCTTGACCGGCTGTAGAACTGATAATTGGAAGTGACAAGCACGAAAACGGTGAGTTTATTTTTTGGGGCAGGATACAGGGGCATCACGTGTAGGGGAACACCGGTGAGTCTTCCTACGTCATATCTGTGGATCTACGAGGCGGCTTTCTGTTCACTTTCACTTTTCTAGTAGCCTCATATCATGTCCGACTTAGAAAATACTACTCGAGGCATTGTTTAGGAGATAATACACAATGATGTCAGGAGCAAATTGGGTCAATGCTATTTTGTGCAAGATTGGACAAACACCTGTTGAATCAGCTTTCCTACTGGCTCTCTGCTCTATGTATACAAAACTGGATAATTTGATCACAGATTGAGAACACAACAATCAGCATTTTTAGCCTGAATTTGATGAAGACCTAGGAATTATTATCTAGACGAACTCTTTACAACCTAGCCTTTTCTTCCTCCCGGCCTTTAAGGTTAGGGTGAGGGGATCGAATGGGTCGAGTAACGGCATAAAAGGCAAGCCCTTGTGACTTCGTCGAGAACTAGAACGGGAAGAGGTTAGAGCTATTACAATTAAGATCTCGCGATAAAGACATCACAAACCTTAACCTTAGACCCAACATAGAAAAAAGCAAAGTCTCCTGGGACTAAGTGGTGAGTGATTCCGGTAGCTTCGTCCTATTTGAAACCGTAAATGTTAGCCCAAGCAAAGCATTGAATAAGATCTCAATATACAACAGGGGGACACACCAGAATATCGATCTGACCACTGAGGACATATTTCGTCTCCTCAAAGGTATAGCTCGCGGGTCTTTCAGGTCCCGCTTCAATCTTATAGAACCCCGAAGTGAAATATGCAGGGGATTCGGTCTTGGTGCGGATAGAGTGGAAGTCGGCAGTGGTTGCATTCTCGCCCTGAGGGAGGGGGATGAATTCATGGCCGGCGCCTTTAATTACGGTAAGGGGAACGATATTGCTAGACACTTTCCATAGTAAATTCTAGTATTAGCAACTCTCAATGACTTGCTTTTGGGGTTTAGTAGGGGCAACTCACTATTGCTGCGCGGAATGTGTTTTTGATGGAAATATAACTGGGACGTATTCAGGAACGAGGTGCCCGCTAACTAATATACACAATTGGTTCATACTAGGGCACACCTCGGACGCACTCCCGGGATATGGCGATAATCCTGTGTGCTTTATCCTGATGAGGGGACAATACTCGTGTTGGTCTGGCCCAATGAGGGGAACACTTCGGGTGCATCGCCCGGAGGTGGAGACATGTCGGATGGAGAGCCGTAATCCACCAGGACATTCTTATAATTGATCAGGAATCGTCATGGTATTTGCTACTTTGCGAGAGGGTAAGAAAGCAGAAGAAGAAGCCAAAGGAAAAGGAAGAAAAGCTAAGCTTCCTCCGCCGCTGGACTGATTCTGGTGGGTAACCTGTACTTCGACCACGATCCACATACGCTGGATGACAGAGCCTGAGTGCTCAGACTGGAATTTAGTATAGGCTGCTCTGACCAACTTGTGCTTGAGCGACTCGAGGCAAAAGTGAAAGATTCTAGATTACCAGGAAAGAAAGTTCAAAAAATTTATAATCAATCAATTGAGGGTGTATAGAGCATAAGCCCCCAAGACCGAAAAAAAAGATAAAATAAAACAGCATCAGGTTGAACCCCAATGAACTCTTAACGGGGCAACCCAGCTCGGAAGTATATCACACAAAACGCCACACCATCATGCATACCAGCGAGACAAAATCAGAAGGGGGCAAAAGCCAGCTCGTAAGCAAAAGCCAAGCTCATCTTCGCATGCTGCAGCATGTGATCGAAGCTTAAATACTCGATCTTGTCCTCGGTGGTGTGAATCCTCTTATCGGAGTTCTCAAACTGAGACTCGATGACAAATGCCGAGGGGTATCCGTAACGACTGGCAGAAGCATGATCAGAGCATGCATACCCACACTTTGTCTCTACATAAGGCACATCGCAGTAGGTAGTGATAACCTCCTTAACGAATGCAGTAAGGCCCGGGTCGACATAGTCGACAATAACACCCACAGACTCCTTCTCGCCAGCATCAAGAGTACCCTGAACATACCCAGTCATGTCCTGCTGAAGCATGGCCTTGACGTTCCGCTGGCTATTCTTGTAATTAGCATAGACAGCCTGCGATCCGAGCAAACCGCCTTCCTCAGCAGAGTACCAGTGGAACTCGATGGTGTTCCGGGCCTTTCCGTGGGCGATAGTCTCCGACCGCAGCAGGGCGCGAAGGGCTTCGAGGATAGTAACTGTTCCACTGCCGTCATCGTCCGCGCCTGGAGCAGCCAGAATCGAAGGTAAGAACAGGTTGATGCTATCCTGGTGGGAACCGAGGACGACGGTGTTGTCTGTCTGGCCGGGAATGCGGGCAATAATACTGAATTGACCCCAAGGATGGTCGAAGCGCTTGACGGTTGCGCCGTGGTCGCTGGCGCCAGATTCGTGCACTACGGCAGTCACTTGGTCAAATAGCCAGGTTGCTGACTGGATTCCCGTTTGTGACTTGTAGTAACGCGTGTGGAAGGATGTGAAGTGTTCCAGGTTGCTTCTCATGTTACTCTTATCGAGGGTCTCGGTCAATGGCAGAATCTCATGTGAGTGCTCCATTGTCCCTGGGTAGTGGACGACTCGCGTGGTGTGGAGGGTTCCGTAGGAGCCTGATTGGTATTCATCGGTGACATCGATGAAGTTCACTCCGTCCTGGTCGGGCATTAGCACTGTGTGATTGAGTTCGAGCCAAAACTTGGCTTACTAGCTTGAGCGACCATTTTTCCTCTTCGGTTACCCATCGGGTCTGGTATGGAGCCAGCTCAACCAGGGACTTGGATTGAGGGTTTTGGACGATTGAAGGCGCTAGAGGTTGTTGCTCTGGGTTGACTATGGCCATGGCAGTTGCCGTTGCGCTCAGCGCAAGAGTGAGGAACTTCATGGTGAAAAATAAGGATAAGACAAATAAACAGAAAAAGGATCTACCAGGCAGAGAGGGCCTAAGGCTTCTTTTAAAAGCTCTGAGAAGGGCAAGGTGTTGAACACGCGCCCTGTGCCAAGCCAATTTCGGACCCCGCGCGCGCTAAAACACCGAGGCTCTGTATCATTTTGTTCTTAGAACGTACTTCCGGTATTTCCGGTTTTTTAGCGTGAAAATCTCCGACACATACGGATTCAGACTTGTAGGTATAGGCTCGTAAAATCATATTCAATATTACTCGAATCCAAGGTAACCGGCATTCAAACTACCAAAGGCAAAAGGGTTTCGACTCGAATCTGGGGATTGAGGGTGGAGAATGGAGAATGATGAAAAGAAACTCCACTATGACTGCGCAATGACTCACAGCCTTGCGGAGATAGGGCTATAGCCTGAAGATTAAGATAAAAAATGACGGCCTAGTACTTTTTAGATAGCGTTGAGCTACAGAGTAGTGGTTTTAATAGCTTCGATATTTGCTCCACCTGGTGTCCCCGGGGTGGTTTCTTCAATTCCCATTCCTTCTTCCAGAATAGGAACATAGGGCTAGGGCTATGAAGTACCCACTTACCCACTCACCAATCAGCGTCCAGCCAGTTGTCCCGTGCAGACAAACCTGCGTTATCATCTCTCCCAGGTCTCTTATCTTACCCTTTCTTATCCTATCCTTATCCCTCTTTCTCCCTCGGACTGTTCCCCTCATAAGACCACAGTGCAAACATTATGGCTATTCATCCACGGTTGCGCCCAGAAGGTTCTCAGGGGCACCTGTCGCCGCAACAAGCCCTAGCCATCTCCGCATGGACAGAGCAACATGCAGCAGCCTCCCTACAGGACTTGTCCCTGACAGACTCAGCCCCCGCAGCGAGCACGCCATCGACACCGACCCCGACGCGCTCGGGTCTGCTTGGAGCCACTGCTTCGCTGTCAATCCCTCTCGACGACGAAGCGATCCCATCCCGACGAGTCAAGGTCGATTCCCGCCCCCCGACAGTCAGCTTCCGACGTCGGGAGCCTCTACGCCGGGATGGCCTCAAGACCCGGGAGGCTCTGCTCAAGGGCAAAGACGGCAGCCGTCGGAGGCAGCGCTGGGAGAATGGTACGTTGTAGATGAGCTAGTTAGGTCGCGGTGAATTCCGGCTGTACCTTTTTGCCCTTGGCGCAGGTTTGGTAGGCAAATGCTGACCAGAAACCAAGATCGTCTGTTGCACAACCCCTGGGCGGAACCGCCGTCTTCAAAGGACTGGGATGTCCAACCCACCTACCCTCGGCATGACCCGATGCCTTATTATCTTGCGCCCTTGTGGGACGTTCACTATTCCCATGTGGCGGATCACCAGTCGGCCGTGAAGGCTGCCGAGAGAGCTAATGAGAAGCATCACATCCCGAAGCAACTGAGGTCAAAGCTGAAGCATGCGCGTGCTGCACATGGCATGCTCCGAGATCTGGAAGATGAGGTCCGTCGGTTTATTCAGAAGTGGAATGAGAGGGAGCTTCTGCTTGAGAAGGAGGGGTTGCGGGACGCTCCCGAGAACTCGGCTAGTGACGATTCTGAGGATGAGATCGTCTTTGTCGGTCGTAATGGACAGATGCACGACTCTCCCGAGCGAAAAGAGAGACTTCGCCTGCTTCGAGAGGAGATCAGCTCTCACAGCGAGCGGGATGGCGAGAAGATGGTGCTTGAGACTTTGGCTAATGATCGTGCCGCTGGATTCGGGTATGTTTTCCGTCTTTACTCCCACCATGACAGCGAAACTGTTCCGTCCGCTGACACTTCTCAGTCGTTGGTTGGTCCACTCCATTGCGTCCTACTATGGATTACATACTTGGTCCGTTACAGTAAAAGACCGACGAGAAGCCTACGTAGGCTTCCGCCCCCCGGTGCCAGGAAGTCATGCCGGGCTCGTTTCCCACCCAGTTTACCATTCAGAGACCTCGATCAAGCCCGGCGAAGAGCTTCCTCGGCCTCTCTATACGCAGGTATAGAATGCTGCCTTCTTGTTTCTTTCTCTTCTGTCTTCCAGATTGAACATCCATTTTGATTTTCGACCAGGGTAACGTTCATGGACATTGTAATCTCTGCGTGAACCGGGACGCGTTCTACCCGTTACGGGTGGCCTTTTGCAGATCTTCTTGCACATAATTTTTCGGTTGTGTCTCTGTCCAAGAGATTATTTTCATCGCTATGATGCAGGTATGATTAGTGGGGACTATGCGTTCACCGTGTTTATGTTCGATCTGATCGGAATGAAACGTTCGAGTGGAATCTTTGAGCCCCTTCGTTCTCGCGATGTCGGTAGGTCCAAGTCTGTGCGCTGGAACTAGCAGATTCTATGTCGTCATGCCAGGGTCCAAGACATGACCGCTAAGACATTAGATAGACTGTGCCATCGGAAGAATGCTAGTATCAACTCTCAATCCGGCGAACCAGGGGTGTTCTTTAACAATGACATTGTAGAGATCTCAAGTGTATCATACCAGTTATAAATACTCTTACGTACAATGTAATCGGCGTCCCCACCACACGTTAGATCGGAACGGACCGTGGGGCCCACGGTTTCCAAGGTTCTCGTGACGTGCAACTGTGTATGTTTGACTTTTCCACAGTCATCTATTCCCTGCTATGATGTATATAATGTGGAAGAATTCCCCAGGGCTTGGACCTTAGAAGGCCCGAGCACTAGCATCCAAGTACCTCTCTCTCTGTGGAGCACGTAGTACAGGAAATCTCGCGTCCAGACCTTTCTCGACGTAGGCCTCTGCAATCCGACTGGTTCTCACGTTGGGAAACCAAAAGCAAAAGAAAGGGCAAAGCCACGAATGAAGATGAAACACAGGGGTTATCACACAACACATAGTGCGCTAGAGAAGAGCATTACCACTCCTTATAGGTAGACTGGTCCATTGCCCAGGACATGTGGCTGGCTTTCAGTTTCTTTTTTCTTTCTTTTCTTTTTTTCTTCCTATTTTTTTTTCATTTGCTTTTTATTTCTTTTCTTTCTTTCTTATTATCTGTGTAACTAGCGATAATTAGGTGCGACTGTGTGGCTCCAACTCTTTTGATAGTGTGTAGAACAAAGAGTCGGGTACCCAAAAATGACGAGAGCATTCTCCATTTCCCCCCTCCCAACCGCTCTAAATACTTCCCACATTGTGTCCGGGTTTTTTTTTATTTTTATTATTTTTACATTCTCTTTGACTTGAACTCCTGGCTTCTGGGTTTGATCACCTTTTTCTACTTGCTTTTTTCCTCCTTTTACATTCTCCCTAAATTCTCCTATATTTCTTCTTTCTATATTTTTTTACCTTCTCAAACAGGAAATCCTCCACCCCTACTCTTTTCCTTTTTTTTCGGTTCTCAATCATATGACTTTCTTTTTCGAGTTCACTTGCAGGAACCCTGAGAATACCCCTGGGGTTATCACTCGAAAGTCCCTTGTCACTGATATTAGCCCTTGGGACCCCATATTATGAGAATTTGACCCCTCCTCGACGGAATCAACCGGACTATCTACGGGTCCAAACGCCGGGTCTTGTTGCTTTTGCTCTGATATACCTCATTTGGTCAACCACACCACCTGTGGCTTACTTACGGCTGACTTTGATATCACTCCTGGCTCAACTCCACTTCTTCAATCCTTTTTCGCCGACTTCACTATAGATCAGCGGATCACATTACCTAAACATTCACGTCTACAATCCAACTCATGATCACAAGCTGTACCTCAATTCAATTTCGTACGCAAGATGAGCTCCTTTAAATTCGGCGAAGTCGGCAGCTTTAGCTCAACAGACAGTTCATGCTCAAAAAGCACGGCGGCAACAAATCACAGCGACCGGATCGCTCCCAAATCACACAAAAGAAACTGGTCCACGAATTTAGCCAACCAAAAACACACCGAAGCCGAAGCCGAAGTCAAGTACCAATACCGCGAGCCACCTCCCTGCTCCTCAACTTCAACCTACGCTTCAACAACAATTTCCACCGCCGAGATTGACCCAGAGTCCGACCTAATTGAGCCCCCAAGTTCCCATGAAGGTCGCTACTGTGTAAATGAGCGGCAAGAATTTTACCCACTAGACGCAATTCCCTCAACGCCTTCATCCTTTGCACCGCTCTTCCCCTCCTCGCGGCGACTGCTTATCCGTCATGACGACGCAACTGTCGACGGTAACATGAACCTGCGCGTCGACACACCAGTCCACCTCCGCGATGGCTCTCAGCGCGATGTCATTCTCTTCCACCTGCGTATGCACGACCTCTTCTTGCGGAAATTCTCGTTGCGGCGGTACTGCCGAGACTCGGGGCGCGAGGTGTGCCAATCGGCAAGGCGGGAGGTCGTACCTGCTCATGAGCGAAGGCCGGCGCTGCGCACCTCGTGGAGCAACATTTTTGCGGGGTTTAGGCCTGGTCCAGTCGGTGGTCATTGTGCCCCGAATGGGGAGCTAAAGAGGCAGGTTTCGAGGGTCGGTGATGGCTATGCACCTGAAAATGGTCATGGTCATGCTGTGGTAGAAAAGATGGACAAGGGAACAGCTGAAGCGGATGAGTATGAGAAAGAGAAAGAAGAACAGGGCGCTTTGCCGATCCTGGGTGAGACGATCTTGCTTGAATTCTCCAATTATGCGCATGTCGCGCTGCGTCGCAAAGGGCCTGGCTCGACTAAGAAATACGACTTTGAGTACTGGTCCACGAAGTACCAGTGGCGGAGGGAGGTCCGCAAAGAGGGTGACCTACATGAAGTGTCTTTTTTCTTGGTGGACACGCGCACCTCCAAGACTATTGCTCATTTGGTGCCGGACACGCTAGCGCCACTGGAGGTTGTTGAAGAAGAGAGCAAAGGGGGTTGGGTGCCGCCTTCTTCATTGTGGATCAGTGATCCCGAAGTTTATAAGACAATGTCTGATGTTGCCGAGTAAGTTCTTCTGAAACTCTGTCCTACCTCTCAGCCCTGGCTAGTCATGTTCTCTGCTTAGCTCTGGCTCTGAATCTTGTCGTTACTCCATTTGTGTGTTTTTTTTTACGTGCATGTCCGATCGTCCTCTTTTTTGGTCTCCCCCTTTCCCCCGTGGCTCGTTTGAGAAGGTAGTTCGTGTACAAAGCACCAACGCATGCATTGCATGTACCACGCGCAATGCAACCTGGCACCCCTGCACAAAGTGATGATTAGACATGAGGCTGATGAATCGGGTTGGTTTTTTTTTAGTGTGATCGTCGCAACAGGGATAATTGCGCTAGTTGACGACTGCATTCGTCGTCGCTGGCATCATGAGCGGCGTCCGTCGTGGATCCTGCCCGCCCAGCACTCGCTAGTTAAAAGCCTAGAGCGCATGGGCCCTCGGCGCCTGATCGGCCAAGTACTACAGCGGAGAGGATCCGCCTAAGCGACGCAGGACCCCTTGGCTCCAAGACCAGACAAGGTCTATGATAAGATGAACTAGGTGGTTGAGTTGGTCCTGCATCAGTCGATATATTATGGCGCACGCGGCTTGATGCTGCCTTTAATGACTTAATGATGTGAATAACGTGGGATATGAATCTTTTTTTCTTGTTCTGGTCTAGCTTCTTGTGGATGACTCCTGCTATGCCTCTTTGTTTTTTGTTTGTTGCTTTTTGTTTGTTGTTTTTTGTTTTTTGTTTTTTGTTTTTTTGGCTCTTTCATTTTTCCTTTTTTGGTCTCATGTTTGTTGACCCGAATCATCGCAGTTCAACGGGAGTTGAGCCAAATTCTGGGCGATCCTCTACTACGAATTTGATAGGGAACCAAGCAGGCTTGCAAAGCCGAGCATGATTTACAATTTCATCTCACATCCCGCATGCTGGTGTTGCATGTCACGTAGCATCTGACCGTTGCAAGCTGAACCGTGGTTGCTGTTTTCGAGCTAGTCTACTCTCTGAACCATGGTTCAAGTCTTGAGCTGGATATCTCTCTGGTGACCTATTGACCTGACCCAAATGTATATACATCCTACATCCTCACCCAAGACTTTCCAAGTGCAGATACGGTAGAAAATGAAGCGGCTAGTGTATGGAGTACCATTTGAAGAAATGTCAGTACTATTGTTTAGGGCTCATGATCGATTGGCTCTGGATGAATCTTTTGTTTTTAGCGCAAGTAACAGCCCAAGGAATACCCCTGGCCTTGCTGCCCTATGAAAATTTAAGAAATAGCAAACACGGTGCCCCATTTGTATTCTTAGCATGCGAGTATACTGGTCTGCTATGTTTGACTACTGTAGGTACCAAAATTTTACGTGGGATCTAAGGAGTCTACTGCGCAGCATACAGAAAGATGTACTTCAATCAAGATTGGGGGTGCGGGGCAAGCCCCTCATCCATGGTCTTTTTACTTTCTTTTCCCACTATTTAAGAGTCCCTGTAATGTGCTGGTCTAGTCTTCTGTCGACCATCGGCTGTTTCCCTACGTGTTTGGTGCATACTCGATGTTTGCCGCATTGCCGAGAACCATGGGTAAGGATAATGTCAGCTCTGCATGAATGCCCAACACCCTCCTACTAAAATGAGCCCCCATTAACTCCGACTGGGGTATTCAGAGTATCTGTGAACCAGACCAAATGAACTATTGGTGAATTTTCTTCTATGGGATATCTCTGCACATCAGGCGGTTAGCCCAATGGGACTAGCCGACGACATGAAAATGAACCAGGAGGTTCTTGACCGTATTCTTGTTCCAGATCTCAGCAACCCACATTTTTGAACACCTTTCTAGGGGTGCTTCGGCAATGCCCCCCATTTTGCCTTACTGCATCACGTTTGTCCCCCTTCCCGCTTCTATAGTGATCCTGAGCCCAGTAACTATTTATGTAGGGCGGCACGGTCTGTGGCTTTGAAGGTGCCCAGCAACTCCCGAGTCAACATAGGGTGAGACTTAATCTCTGAAAATCATCATGACATTGTCCATCATGATGAGCTGGCAATGCTTTCCGACGCGGCCCAACTTGGTTGAATCGACATTTTGGGCACCTTCCACATCCCCCAAGACCCGAAAAACAATTAAACAATAAAAGCTATGACACTGACGCTGAGGCCACAGGCTCCGCTTTTTGGGCAGAGATCACCCACAGCTCTCTACCCCTCATGCAGTAGTCCCTCATGGTTGTTCCAGAAGCCCGCCGTTCCGCCGATACGGTTAAAGTCCATGCGCAAACCATCTCGGGAGATTATAACGTTTCCGTTCTCTTTTGTTCCTTGTCCGATGGTACATGTGCTCAAGTAAGGCGATGGAGAAAAATGCCCTGAGAAAAAAGAAAAGTCCAAAAACAAAACTCATATGTACATTCCCCTCCAAAAAAAAAAAACAACGTGGGGTTCTCTGAGTTGTTCACTTTTCCTATCCAATCCGCGTCTAGGTATCTTCCGAAAATGGTGTCATTTGTTCTGGATCCTAGGAGTACTCACTAATATCTCCTTGTTCTGTTAAGAAGCGGGAACTAATTAGGGAGCATCCGGTTTGCCCCTCTTCTATCACCCGTACGTGCTGTCTAGCGTTTCTTCAAGGGCTGTTTTTTGCTTAGTCGGCGTGCGCCGGGCCGTTCCAGGTTGCAGCCTCAAAATGATCCGCATACTCTTCGCCTACGTTCCTTAACTGGTGGATAAGGGAGGGGGGATTTGGCTGACGCTGTGCCATGTCCACATCGACATGCATAAGCCCCCTCTCTGTTAGGTTTGACGGTTAGGCTCCTGTTTGTTCCCAGGGGGAAAATTAAATGGGTTTAAAAAAATTGCAGGGGAAAAAAAAAAGGAAATCCCAAATTTTTTTTTAAAAAAAATACAGGGAAAAATTAGGAAAAAAAAAACACACCACGGGGGTTTCTTTCCTGGCCTTGAAGATATGGCCCACTGTTTATATGACTCCCCGCTCCCCATGTCGGCCCCGTCTGAAGGTCATTGAAAAAATACATTTAAAGAGATCTCCAGAGATTCTAAACGGGTCCAATTGAGCTTGTCTGATCCTGTTTTTTCTTTTATATCTTCTCGTGATTTCCCCTCAAAGCTTTTTCCTTCTTTATTCTCTTTTGATCTTCATCGATTGGGTTATTTACAGACACCATCTTGGGCTCCCCACCTTCAATCCCACTTCATACCACCTCAAATTGCAAAGCTCGGCAGCTCTTCTTCAATCCCGTTTCTCTACGAAGCAGAAATGTCGTATACTACCAGTCCCCAAGGAAATAGTGTTGGCAGCCGGCCCAGCTGGCAAGACCAACTCCAGGGTAAGCCATTGGAATGCGTGGTCAAGCCTTAGCAGCCCTAAATTCCTCTCAAATGACAATAGTACCCGACTAAACCATCTACAGACCATTGCACACGCACCAAGCTGTCTCCTCCTGTCTTCAACATTGTCTCCGATCGGCGAGGTACTTACCCGAGTTCTATTCCATCTCCCTCTCCCCTTCAGTCTCGCATCCAACCCCTTCTTGTGCCGCAGAACTATATAATTTTATTTTCTCTCTTGTCTCCCGTTTCAATGCACACACACACAGGATGCCTCTACCCACTGCTGTGTGCCTCGTGTGTGGGCAATGCAGGAAGGAGTGGAGTCTTGCAGAAAAAAAGACAGAGAAAAATACCCCCCCTTTCAATTGTACACCGACTTTTAGTTTCCAAGGCTCTGGCAGCAGAAAGCTAATTACTTTTATCTCGGAATCGCAGGAGGTCGTACCGCCTGGTCTAGCACCGTCACCGTTCAGGGCCAGAATATCGCCGCCCGTTACTGGTATGACGGTCAGTTTATCAACAATGCCAAAGAGGACGCCGCCGAGGTTGCTCTCAAGACTCTAAACCAGCAGCCCCGGGCTGCTACTGTCTACCAGGGTCAGCTGTTCCCACAGGCAACGTCCGGCTATGGCCGCGGAGCTGGCGGATTCTGATCGTATTCTTTATTCCAAATATTTCCTACTAGTCTTGGGTGGCATTCTCTTCCTATCTTGTGTTTTTATCAAATTTTTGGTTCTTGATTCAAATTTGGATCTTGAACTCTGTTGTTCTTCATTTCTTGGTGTGGTGGGTGCTTGTTCTGGTTTGTGTTCCGCCTGCTGGGAAGGGCCCTTGGGGATCCACAGGTCCTATCCGATACAAAACCCCATACCTTTGTTGTCGCCTTGCTCTCTCACTTGCGTTTTTAACTGCAGGGAAAAAAAAAGTCTCTCCCCTTTACCGCACTCCTCTCCTCACACCTCATTCTCGTGCCGGCACTCTTATCTCCCCGAGTCCTGCTGATGCATCCACCATCCCTCGTCGACAACCACAGCTTGCCAGTTTTTGCAAGTCCTACCCACAAAGGCTCAATGACATGCAGACTCCATGTCATGGGATCTGGTGGGACTGTTCTCAGGACCAGAAAGACGGAGAAATAACAAAAAAAGAAAAATGCAGCTTGTACCATGCATCATCCCTGCCCCGGATGACCACTTCCAAATGCAGGTCACTACCTTGTTTCGCATTGGTGGAACCTCAGCACCAGTCATAACACACCAAACCGAGATCCTGGCGGCTCAGGTACATGGTACGGTGTCTGGATGTCGGCAGGCCTCGTGTGATGCATCACGAATCAGACTCCCTTTCAGCTCTTTTCAGCGTCTCCCCCTCCCACACGTTCTTTAACGGCGGGTGATTTCATCTGTCTTCTCCCCTGATTTGGGTTCATACAGGTCGTCTTTGACATTTGATTTGTCTGTCTGCCTCGAGACTATGTAGGAAGTTGGGCCGGATGAATGATTGGTGTTTGTCTCTTCGAGAATTTTTGACTTGTCATGCTCGAGTGGGCTTGATGTCATACCCGGGACAATTTCCAATTGTTACTCCCTGCTGCGCGGCTCAGATGGCAATTGCACCTTCTGACATTTGAAACGTATGCTTCTACCTGCTGTCTCGTTCCTCTTGGAGCTAGAGACACATGTGTGTATCTGTGCAACACCAAATGTCCCAATCTCAAGCACGATGCGACGTGGCAACTGTGGAGATGGAAGCAATATGGAGCAAAAGGTCACAAGGGGTAATTACGGGACTAAGCCGGGATAGAATCTTTCATTTTCCGGACATCCACTTGTCAAGGATTTGGATTTGGATTTGATTTACATTCCGCCCGATTAATTGATACGTATTGCTTTGCTTTGTCTTTCGTTGGTTCAGATCGGGTATCTGCGCCTGGTAGAGGGGGTTTCTTTGATAAATGTTGTCTCGTGCTTGGCTTTGATGAGTTTTGAAGGTTTAGACACGGAACTGAACCGGGCTATCTCTTACACTGGTATTGTATATGGATGGTATTGGACTTGGAGCTGTTATGGTCGGGGTTTGATTTCCATCAGATTGTTCTTTGTTATTTCTTACTACAAGAAAATAGAATTCCTATCGACCGAGCTTTGATGGGTGAATTCTTTCTTTCCCTTGAATTTTACTAAAAACGGGGTGTATTTATGAAACCATCATCTACGACCACCACCGGCGGGAACAGACTCGCCCCTTTCTAGAAAAGGGCGTTGTACATGTTTACTCTGTGCTACTGATAATCGCGGGTTCTTGGCGCTTTGGCCTCTCGCCTGAACTTACACATCCGCAGGTAGCACAGCCTAGGCCATGTGTCTACGGAGCAGCCAAACATTAATTTCCAACGCATAGCGGCCAATTTGGGCAGCAGTCCAAATGTCAGGCTTCGTCTCTTGAGTGAAATAGATTTTGAAAACAGACTCCTAATATGACTTTGCCAAGCAAGTCTACAAAAGTACGTTGTAGACTCGACGTGGGATGTTGATCAGTTACTTTGAGTGAACCACGGAACGCTGAACTCTAATTGTCTATTTTGACCAACTCAATGCTGGCCTCGGATGAACTCATATAGGAATAGGTTTTCTCGGTAATTGGGGCTCGTGATATGCTCGCATATCACTAGCCCCCTATGCACAATACAACACACAAAACTTCGCCCGAAGAGTGATGGCCAAGACTCCTGCTTGATGTGCTGCATTTTTACTCAGCCATACTCGGGCGGTGGATCTGTCGATCAGCTTATACGAGACAGCAAGTGAAAATCAAGCTTTTTAAGACGCCAAATCCGAAAACTTAATATCGGAGCACTACAAATCAATCGTTCCATCACCGAAGCCAACCAGACCATCATCTACCTCAATCCTAACGCTTTCTACAATATTCGAGAAATCTAAATCTTCAAACTATCATCTGTCCCGTTCCGAGCAGTTTCCTTCCATCCTAATATTACCATGTGTTTTGGCCCATCGTGCAGAGAGGCATCTGACTCTCTGCTCCCACGGCGCGTATCTTACACCTACAGCCAGTACACACACAACAAAGGCTACGAAGCAACTTAAAAAGAGTGAACCATCGAACTCCTCAGCAGCAATCCGACTAGAAGTCTCCGGGTAATCTGGTGACACGAACCAGATCAAAAGCGGCAGACGCGCACGATGAGGCGCCCTCGACGATTAATAGCCACTTTAAAGCAGAAAGGCCATGGGGCGCTATTTATTTGCCCCACGCCAAAGGCAATCGTACCGCCAAATGCTCCAGCTAGTGTTGCCGAGGCCACAACCAGGGCCACGTGAATAGAGCACTCGGAGCTGCAATACCGGAAGACAAGGTAGTGTACGAAGCCAGGGAAGTGACCAACTTCTGTTTGCACCTACGAGGAATCGGAGTCCTATTGCTTGGGCGTAGCTGTGGGCGCCGCTGTGACCGATTGTTACTGCACCTAAGAATATTACAACGAGTGCAATCCTTATGCAAACCAGCGCTTGAGATCGTTCTAGATATCCAAGGTCGGGACTTACGTATACCGATATACCGATACCAAGTCATATGAGTCCCTGAGAGAAGATCATCGTGAGCATCCGAATTTAGAATTTTGGCATTGCCTAGGTATTTTAGCTTCAAGCTGATCAGAAATCAGGGACGTGGAACATACCGATATTAGAGCGATCGAGATAACAAAGTAAGTAAATTGCAGACAAGGAAGCAATACGTAGATCTTGGTTCCAGACCAAGGTCTTTTCGCATGCGTTGAGAAAATCTTCGACAACATCGGCGCTAGCAAGCTACGCTGCTGTCAGTTCTTTTAAGCTCGCACACCACAACACCATCTAGTTCTATATCAAGGGGGAAAGGGAAAAGATACCTCTGACACTTGTTCCACCTCTTGCGTGCATTCTTCGGTTGCCATGTTTTACAAAATGCTGCCAAGCAACAAGAAAAGCAGAAAAGATCGCAGTTGATTTTTCGCTTACTTCTTTTTCCCGTCTGATTTAGCTTCCCCGGGCTTCTCTCTCCCCGACGCCTCACCGACATTAGGGTATTGGGGATACCCGATTTCCGGAGCATATCTAAAGATTGGAGGAGTTATAAGACTACGCAGCGTACATATTAAGGTGGCAGTTGATTGCCATCTCTTATCTCCCCCGAATTAGGGCTTTCTCGGATCTCCACGTCAAGATCTCAGGGACACCCAGGAAATAAATAGGCGTCAACGCAAGGAGCATTAGGAGCGACAAGCAAGAACATCAATAGCGTTTCAAATATTGAATAACATTTTGGAAGTTTTATTGTAGGCTATGGGTTAGTCTTGTCGGGGAGCAGGATGATTCGATTCATTGATCAAATTGAGTGTCATCTAAGGCGAAAATATCTCCAACGCTGGAGTGATAGAGCATTGAAGGACTCCATGTGCATAAACTAAGTTCAAAGATATCCAAACTACTCCGTATTTATTCGCACTATGTGTGTGGTGGGTTAAACAGCAAAATTGAGCCTCATGATGCAAACAAGACAAACAGCTTATCAGATAAAAGTGTTCCTGGTCGCATCGCAAGCACTTAAATCACCCTCCCCATGGTATGGCACCCTTTGCTAGCCAAGCGCGTCGCTAAAACATCACATTCGACTCTATTCATATCAATCGCAACCATGTCAACCACCACCGCTTCCGCCCGCAAATCGATGCCCTCTGCATTAACTTTCGATCGTCACGCCAAATGCTCGGTACGTCCGTGTGGCATGGCAGCCCTTGAAGACTTGTTGTTAAAAAATTTCTGATACGTGCTATTTGTCGTGGTATAAATAGACAACTAAGGCCCGTGCGAGTACCCTCCACCTACCCCATGGCTCAGTGCCTCTACCGATCTTCATGCCTGTCGCGACACAGGCATCTCTTAAGGGCCTAACATACGACCAGCTGCGAGAGACGGGATGCATGTTGTGCTTGAATAATACATATCACTTAGGTCTAAAGCCCGGTCAGGCGGTACTAGATGCAGTGGGTGGAGCGCATAAGTTACAAGGATGGGATCGGAATCTCTTGACCGATAGTGGGGGGTGAGATATACCTCCTGTCGCAAGTTGATAGTTTGTTACTAACCGGGTATGTTTTTTTTTAAAAGTTTCCAAATGGTGTCGCTTCTTCAGTTGGCGACGGTCACAGAGGAAGGAGTGCGATTCCTTAGCCCGCATGATGGCTCGCCGATGTAGATGGCTTTGCTTTAACCCGTGTAGCTGAGCATCCGAAATGCTGACTTTAACCAGGCTACTGACACCCGAACATTCCATCTCTCTCCAAAATTCTATCGGATCTGATATTATCATGCAATTAGACGATGTGATTGCAACCACTTCGCCGGATCATGCTCGCATCAAGGAGGCTATGGACCGGTCTGTGCGATGGCTAGATCGGTGCATTGAGGAGCATAAATATCCGGAGCGCCAAAACCTCTTTTGCATCATCCAGGGTGGTCTTGATCTTGAATTGCGAAAGCAGTGCTGTGAAGAGATGGTAGCGCGAGATACTCCAGGAATTGCCATTGGAGGTCTATCCGGTGGTGAAGCGAAGGAGGAGTTCTGCAAAGTGTATGTGCCTCCACTTCCAACGAGAAAAAAAAACCAGATGAACTGACGAACCAAAGAGTGGATACATGCACTGAAATTCTCCCGGAACATAAACCCAGATACGTGATGGGCGTGGTATGTCTTGCTGGATCGCTTATTCTGCCTTTGCTCATCACAAAAACTAGGGATACCCCGAGGATATCGTTGTAGCAGTGGCTCTCGGGGCAGATATGTTTGACTGTGTTTGGCCGACGCGGACAGCAGTAAGAATCAACCAACCCTTTAGTTTGGACCTTGCACTGACATCAGCTAGCGCTTCGGTGACGCGATCGTCTCCTCTGGGACGCTGAAACTAAGCCATAAATCGTTCGCCGATGACTTTGGTCCAGTTGAGGAGGGCTGCACCTGCACTTGCTGTCGTCCAACTGACCAAGGTGGTCTTGGTCTCACGCGAGCATACATGCACCATATCACAGCCAAAGAAACTGTTGGAGCTCATCTGTAAGTGTTGCCTGACCGCAATGTTTTGATTCGGATTTAATACTTCTACAGTTTGACCATCCATAATGTTCATTACATGTTGACCTTGATGGGCAAAATCCGACAGGCCATTATCGATGACCAATACCCGGCTTTCCTTCGTAAGTTTTTCTCTGATCTCTACAGAGGCGATAAATCTAAGTTCCCCGAATGGGCGGTGGGTGCTCTGCGGGGAGTTGGAATGGACTTGTTAGCAGACTCATGACGCTGTGACCACTGGTTTTGATCAAAATAGAAACGTCTTGAAGAAAAAGATGACGAGAAATGTACTTCATACGACGAAAAAGTTTTTTTACCCGTTCTAGCGGTGTTGTGGTGATTGAATATAGAGTGCATCCCATCAGACATTTACGGGGCGTAAGACACAAGTTCCCTTGTGCAACAGTGCAACAACGGACATTCTAAAGTATTTTTGAAATACCACATATAGTGGTTATTTATTGGGATCTTATCCATGGGCTTCGAAAGGGTTATATAGTGTCAAAGTGGATGCTTTAGGGAAGAACATCAGCACCAAGTAATGTCGCGCATGTCAACACTTGTGACAGCAAACTAAAATTTGATTGGATCATTTTTTGGAACAAGTTGGTGCACTACGGAGCATAATTTTACGAGATCTACACGTGACCACGTGTCGCGTCGACGCGACCCACCTGATCTCCAAGATTGCTCCCTCTCCATCATCCACTTGACACTTTAAATGTCTCTCGACCGACTAATCTCAGCAGAAATCCTGATACCCCGTCTCTCACTAATTCAATCTACACCATGACTCAAGACCAAGCCGCTGCAGCTCCTGCGGCAACCCCGTCGCCACATGACCCCTCGCATGAAGAGCACCAATACCTCAACTTGATACGCACAATCCTTTCCGAAGGCGAGCACAGACCTGACCGCACTGGCACCGGCACGCAATCAATCTTTGCGCCACCCCAATTACGCTTCTCTCTCTCGAAGCCGAACCCAAAAGGCGGCGACCCAATCCCCGTCTTGCCTCTTCTTACTACAAAGCGAGTCTTCCTACGCGCCGTGCTTGCCGAATTACTCTGGTTTATCTCCGGTTGCACCTCCTCCCTCCCACTCTCCGAAGCTGGGATTAAGATTTGGGACGGAAATGGAAGCCGCGAGTTCCTGGATAAGTCCGGACTCGGTCACCGTGAAGAAGGCGACCTAGGACCCGTGTATGGATTCCAGTGGCGGCACTTTGGCGCCGAGTATGTTGATGCGAAGACGGATTACACCGGCCAGGGTGTCGACCAGCTCAAAGACGTTGTACACAAGCTCATTCACAATCCCTTCGATCGCCGTATCATCATGAGCGCGTGGAATCCCGCTGATCTGAAAAAGATGGCTCTGCCCCCGTGCCACATGTTCGCCCAATTCTACGTCTCGTTCCCCCCTGGCATGAAACTCGATGAAAAAACGGGCCGTCCATCGGAGAAGGGTATCCTATCCTGCGTGCTGTATCAGCGCTCTTGTGATATGGGTCTTGGTGTACCCTTCAATATCGCATCTTATGCCCTCCTCACACATATCCTTGCACATGCTGCGAATCTTCATCCCGGAACTCTCATTCACACTATGGGCGATGCCCATATCTATCTTGACCACATCGATGCGCTGAAAGAGCAGCTTGTTCGAGAACCAACGGAATTCCCTGAGCTGTGCATTAAGCGTGATGACCGTGGCAGCGCGGTCGTCGATGGCTGGAAGGAGGATGAATTTGAGGTGATTGGATACAAGCCTCACAAGATCATCAAAATGAAGATGAGTGTTTGATTTCTAAAGGTTTCTAGTTCGCGGGCACTGTCCGAAATATGATATTTGTATGATACCAATTATTCTGTGATATGTGACACAGGTCCTTTTTTTTTATTTCGAGACCAAAGATAGCATTCAAACTCCGAGTCTACATGTACAACAAATCAACTCCTGCATGGAATCAAACACGCTTCCAGTTATATCAGGCTGTGTATATGCTTTGAAAAGAAAAGAAAAAGAAAAAAGGCGTCAAGAAAACTATTAGACAGAGGGAGCAGAGTATATGCAAGATGCGAATAAATGTATCATGAACTCCCAAGAACAGCCCCAGCGCCGCGTAACAACACAATCGTATCACCTTGCTTTACCTTCCCACCACCAATAGCCACAGAGAACTCGAGGAAATCCCCAGACTCAACATGGAAAATCCGCAACTTTGAATCTTCCTCATTAACCCGATTATTCAAATTCTGAACCCGCAACTTCTTCGCCACATCATCAAGTACACGCCCGACCTTCCACCTCGAATCAAAAAAGAAATCCCCAGCCGGCGGCTCCGCAGCCTGCGTCTCCGCCGTACCAACAGTATGCAAATATAGCCTCTTATCCGCAGGAATCGAAGCATCCCCCTTAGCCAATCGTTTGAGACTATTAACAGCAACCGCACGCGCAGCCGGACTATTCGGCTTGGGCTTCAACTTGGGCAAGGCCGGCAGCAGGGTGCCCTTGGCAGCGGCATTCTGCTTATCACGGCCCCAGGTGCGTACACGCGCGAACATAGACTTGATTGTATCATTTGGTGAGGTGCCATTTTGCTGGCGCGCGCCCAGCGGGGTCATGCTAGCGCATTCGTGTTCTTCGCGGAGACGGTGTTTCAGGCAGTACTGGTGGTTGCACTGGGGACAGCGCACAGCTGGGTCTTTTAGGGTGTTGATAAGGGTTTTGCACTGGGTGTGGGCGCATTGGTCGGTGTTGTAGATGGAAGGCTTTTCGGGGGCGGTGCGGTTCTCCTGGTTGGTGTTGTTGGTTCTGTTGCGGCGGCGCGCCCATTCGCCTTCACGGGGGCACTGGTGCGCGGTTTCGGTCCGGTGGTCTAGACAGTATGTGCTGTAGCAGGATTCGCAGCGGAAGGGGAGGAAGTCTAGTTGGCCGCAGTATTCATATTGGCAGTGCCGGCCCAGGGATTCCAGGTCTGTGTCGGCCATTTGCGTAAAGGTTTCGTTTGGGCCACTAGAGGGGCTGCGCCCTTTGGATACGGTTATAGGGGGCATGATAGTGTTTAATCTTTGAAACCAGGGGGATGACACGGGAATCGAGGGAGAATGCGTGGAATTCGAGTATGTGATCTGATGGAACGCGCTGGGACAATCGCCATGTGACTAATGTGGAGAAGGTTCTGGGCTTATCTAAATGCGGAGTTAGCGTTCGGAGTTAATTCATCCAAGGAACCCACGGTTATGTGATATTGGGAATTCCTTAGATACATATGATGGGCAGGAAAGGTTCGAGTAAAATATAAAAGAGTTGAGATTCCTCCCAAGAAACTTCATCAGGCTCCGCAATCGTAAATCTGGCACCAGCTGAAGCGCTGAAGCAGGTTAAAAAAAAGCCTCAGACGAGTTTCTTGGCTTGCAACCACTCCATGTATTTATTTATCATAGTTCCCATGTGAACAAATCATTCCAATCTTGACCGTTGACAAATGCCAAATCTCAAAGGGAATGCACCCGGTCTTTCCAACCCGATCTTTTTGCAGAATACTCTCAACTCGGCATCACCTTTCCCAGTCAACGATGTGTCTTTCAAAGACAAATCAGCCAGTTTACAGAACTAAGCTTTGGGTGCTACATTGCCAGTTTATGTTGCTGATGATCCCACGCAAACTTTTCTGGAGCCCTTGGTATCAGCTGCTATCCTCAAACCAGAATACACCTGATTGCATAATGGTGGTCGCGCTTGGAATATTTCAAGGCAGAGCCAAGATATAGTTGATATGGCCCTGTGGATAATTCATCACTTGATATAAAACCAAAGTTGATTTGGTGGCAAATAAAGAGTTCGACACGTATTGACTCTCCTGATTTTTTACAGACAGGAATGCATCCCAGGTGGCACTCTCAGAGACGGTAGTGGGCTCTTATCAATGAAAAACTAGGGATTTTTTCAAATGATGGATCCATCTGATACTCTAGAACTACCTTTTCGGCGAGTAGCGTTGGTCTCTCTTCTCGCCCTTTGCAGTCAACTTATCAAGGATCATGTGTATAAGAGCCCGAGGTAAATCATCACAGGAATGAAGATGAATGCCCCCTTTGGTTGGGGAGCGTCCGGGAACAATATCGAGGAAGCAATGTAGTCGTGTCGATAACCATCTAAAGACAATAGTAACCAACTATCTTAGTACGAGATACTCTCTTTCTTAACTCACGTGCTAAGTATACCAGGTATAATGCAGTCGAAATAGGCTTGCCATGATTCAAACACGCAGTGACACATCACCCTCAACCCCGCGGTGTAGGAAACTACTCCTAAAGTGGAACTGTTGAGTGATTTCTATTGGATCCACCTGCTGGTGTGTTGATGCCCAGTGATGGCAACATAGAAAATTCGCTCGAAATCAGTCTTTAACCCCCGAATCTTAATTTTAAATCTGACAAGATGTAGTTTTTCATACAGTTTGCGGGTATAGCCTGGGCAACATTGAATGTGACATTCATAGTCAATCATAGCACTATGTGGTAGTGGAAATAAATGGTCGTGCATACCCCTCGGGGTTCTTTTCTGTGAGTGTCCGCCGAATGGAGTAACAGGGGCGAAGCTTTTATCCGGGTATTTTTGAGCCTTCATGCAATACCTTCATGTATGGTCAACCGTCTCTCTTCCATCCCGTTCTATCGTCATGTACTATATATACACTTAGTAGTGAAGCTGTATTAGTGAGGGACAGGCCTGATGGAGATCGAAACCCCTATCTTGCTTGATTGTCTGATTGTGAAGGCGAGCAGGAACCCCACTCTGCAGAAGTCGGTGAAAAGAAGGGGGGGAAAAGTTCATCAAAAATGATAGAGTAAGTAAATCTTTTTGAGATCGGGGAAATGCGGGGAGTAACCATGATATCAATCCATTTAGGGCAAGCACACGCGTTGTCCTAGAAATCCTTGTATACATGTGGAAGTACAGAGTACAACTCAAACTTCTAGAATCTCGTCCCTGGATTAAAAGGTCGATCACGGCGCGGCGACTGCACCAATCACCGGGCCGTATCCAGCACCGGCCGCCGGCCCGGTTGATACTATGATTGGTTCGCTTGGCCGACGCGTTGTCTTTTTGAGCCGGCGATCTATAAATGTCGATGGTGCTTGATGTCTAGATAAGATATTGGCATTACATTATAGAATGCGTGCTGGGGATATATCTACAGAGTGGTTTCTTCTTCTGCTCACTCACGTCTTTCCCCCTCTTCCCCTTTCTCCCCCTTTTCTCATTTCAAGTGCACCCAAGTCGGGCAACCCTAACCCGTTCCCTTTAATCAGAATTTGATCCACAGTAAGTGGTTTCGTGGAATGCCCCGCGTTGGACTTGTTTAATCTAACAGTTCCAGTCTCGTTAGATTGCAGGTTTACCGAACTTTGTCCAGTCTTGTCTCTATATCACGAATCCATCAGACTGCCAGACGGTTACGAGCAGATGGTAATAGCATTGCCCGCTTGAAAACCAGACATCATAAGCCATGACACAGCAAATCCAAGATCAGGCTATATCATTCGGTATACAGCATACCAAAAGCCGGATGGCGGACCTCTTGGCGGCCGATGTAGTCGTTGCTGCAGGTTCAGCAACATTGATTACGCCGGCGGTGATGATCTTTGACAGGTAAGCCAAGTCAGATTCCTTCATATTAACATTTTCTAACAATCATCGCCTAGACTCGTCGTTGAGAAATCATTCTACAACCAACCTCTCTTCCCGGCTTTCCGCAGACACCTTTGGTTATCCCTCACACAACCTGCCACTTTCTTAACATCACGACCCAGTCTCCTGGTCTGGTCCCTTTACACCGCAACCTTCGCCACAGCCAATGTCTCAGAGACCATCTTGAGCAAGTGGTACCCGAAGATCGACCATGCTATCGCAGGCATGACCACCTTCGCTTCAACATTCATAGTCAACTCCTCCGTGGGCATCTGGAAGGACGTGAAATTCGCCCAATTATTTGGTCACAGCAACACCTCCGTGCCAGCCGTAAACAACGCAACCTCACCAAGTCCATCTCCAACTCCCACACCAACTCCCACATCTACCTCCAACACAACCTCAGCCCCTAAAATTGCCCGCTCAATCGGTCGCACCCGAATCCCCGTGGCTACATACTCAGCCTTTCTCGTCCGAGACGCTCTCACAATCTTCGGCTCCTTCAGCCTCCCTGCCATGGTCTCAGCATCAATCCCAGACTCCGTCGCCTCCCAAGAATACCTCAAGATCTTGATTGCGCAGCTCGCTATCCCAGCCTCCATCCAACTTATCAGCACGCCTATCCACCTGCTCGGCCTAGATCTATATAACCGACCACAGGTGATGCCGACCAAAGAGCGGATCAGCCGTGTCAGCCGCGACTGGATCAGCGCGTCACTGCTGCGCATGTGTCGCATTATCCCCGCTTTCGGAATTGGCGGGTTCGTTAATGCAGAGGGCCGGCTTTACTTGCACGATCAATTTGGTGGCCGGCGCAATGGGTCTTGAGGTTTCTCTGGGCTGATATATATATAAAAAAATATACAGGTACAGATTCAGATTCATTTACAGATTCATAGCAGATAAATATACCCTTTTCCTTTTTTTTTTTTTTTCTTTTTCCTTCAATTGTTCAACAGCCTTGTGTGTTATCCGCTATCGGTCTCCCCACTCCCTACATTACCGGGCCGGTTGTAGGCGCTTCACCTCGGGTCGGCAACCGACACAAAACGTGACTTTTGGACTTTTTCAAATCTGTTTTTTTTCCCCTTCGGAATTTGGAAATGACGTTATCAGGGTCCGTGTTTGTCAAAATCGGACAAGAGATATCATAGTGTATTGCCCAGCTCGAAGACGGATGACGATGCCAGTTGAAAGCATTACAAGGCCTAAAATGGTGTTCTGGAAAAGGGCTTGGGAATCAGGTTGAGACGATAGGGCCGCCAATAATCGGTCCATCTTGGAGAAAATTTGAAGTTCCTTAGATTTCCCTAGACGAATTTATACTGGGGACGAGAACCTGCAAGTCACTATGTAATCCCTGATCGCATTTCCTTACATTAGCTCCAGTCGTCTATGCTCTCCTAATGAAGCAACGCTAAGTCATCGCTGGGTGTAGATGTCTGGGGAGATACCTTCTGGCACATCTAAGACCGATCATGTATAAAAGCAGTCGTAATTCCGCAGTCATATTTCTGCAAGGCGTAGGCCGCTTGTGCACCATGTGGATTCATGATAGGTTGGCCTAGATATTTACCGCTACGGAGCACAGCGAGACAGGAGAGCACGACAAATGAGCTTATAGCCTTCAAATTGGCTGCTTTGCAGTCAACAAATCAAGACGTCTTTGCCTTTTCCAAGTCAAAGAACTTCATCTTTACCTTCAGGCTCAGCATGTTTCAAAGGTAGCCTCAAGGCGATGAAACTCTGACATTCCGATATTTCCATCTCTGCCGGATGAGAGTAAATACTAGTTTCTCCTGCGCTTGCAAAGGGAGCATTCCAGCATGCCCGAAAGTACATTCGATTTCCACGCCGCCAATCGGTTCGCTCTCGGTTATTCGGATGAGTGACTCCATGTAGGTGGGAGTAGCGTAGGGTTTTCCATGGGTAGTGACCGATTGAGCTGAGCCCCAGCGGGTCAGTCAAGGTTTGAGCGACAGGCGCCAAGCGAATCCTGGAGTCCTGGCCGGTAATCACTTTGAGTGGTGATATCCTCACGCACAACAGATGATATCGCAATACTGTGGGATGGCTCAAGTTGGCCATCTGGCTTGGTAGAGAAATTTGAGAGAAATAGAGATACAGCCAAGCTCACCGGACGTCGCTATCGATGGCCTCGATTCCAGATGTGCCGCCTTTGGATCCCGAGCTGGTAGCCAAAGAGTCTGCATGGCTGAAATCATGCAACACATGGCTGGGGTCAATAAAAGACGGGTACTGCCCGCCGCCAGTAGTGAAAGACGACGATCTCCACACATGCTGGTGAGCGATATTGACCAGCTTCCCGAGAACTGCAATCTCGAGCTTCAGTTTGATGCTGTACAGCGTGGCCTTGAGGGTCGTTTGGTAGATATAGTAATTCCTGAACTCGATGATCATCAACGCGATATCCATAAGAATACAAGAAACGTTGACGGCGAGCAGCTGCAAGATAGTCTTGCGACTAACATGGTCCTGGTTCAAGCGCAGCATGCGATTGGTCTCCCACATGTACAACCCCGAGATGATAACCTCCTGCAAACAGAAGCCCGTCAGCTGCAGCTTCTCCATGACATTGTACCCTGCAACCGATGCAGTAGAACGAGAGAAGTTGGCAGCGTAAGTGAGCACGGTTGTGGGTGTATGCAGTAGGAAAATGTTCGTGACGATCATCGTTCTCACCGTGCGCAGCACGCGCAGGTTCTGGATCACCAGGTGGAGGCGCGAATACAGCACGAACGACTGACCGGTTACCATGGTCCACCAACCGATTGTTAACAGCGTCACAGGAACCCAAGTTGCGGACGTCAGGCCGAAGAATTTGATCAGATAACCGACAGAATACGGCAGGATTCCAACGCTGGCTACCAGCATACTCCAAAAATAGGGGCCTTCATAGCGTTTGAAGGTTATGAAGATGAGCACGACCAACTCAATCACGTTATACCATGCAATACCGACGAATGTTGCGATCGTGATACGAACACCAATACTGTCGCCAGTGTAGCTGCCAGTGACCCAGTTCCCTGGGCTGGAGTTACTGAGTGAGGACATATCCTTATTGGGAAGATAGGATATTGAGGTCCGTATGGGCAAGAGAACACACGTACCGTGACGTATTTTTATTTTTTTAAGCGGGGTTTCCCCCAATTTAAGGCGGTTTCCACCCCGTCCTGACCCCAAGGGGTGCCAAGTGGGCCAAATGTAATAGTTTGGGGGATTTTTCTGAAATCAGATCTACAATTCGTCAATGTTGACCCACTTACCGTGTTTATTTCGATGCGAGGGGTTACAATAATATTGTATATGAAATACTGTATTTTCTTTTGTCCCTAAGTTGCGCTTTTTTTTTTAGGCTATGGTTGAGTTGTAGTTTCCCAAATTTATACCATGTTGCCGGTATACTCCATAAATATTAGAGAGATGGCCGATCCCGAGAATGCTTGGTAAGTGCTTCTTCCATGCCCAGGTACTTATGAGATCCTTGTAATCTGCAGTGATTAGGACGTTCTTGAGGATGCTCGTTTGGTAGTTCATTTTCCATGAATAATCTGCCAAGGTACTCAGTATTGAAACACCAAAAAAAAGATATCAAAGAGGATCGAAATAGCGTCGTGACTGACGAGAACACTGGCTGTCTGTGAGTAAGAAGTTTGGTCTTCCGTGTCGTCAAAGAAAACATTGGTTCCTCGAGAAAGGCGTGCGGGACAAGTCGAGCAGTGGTAGATCTTTGTAGACTTGGCGCCATAGAGAAAAGATGAGTGGGAGGAAGGAGTGCGGTGTGTGAGGGTGCGCCAACGAGCGTTGAGACTTTGGAACTGATCGGAACTGTCCGATCTCGGAGCTGGTGGTTGATGACTGGACTATTGTTGGAATGTAGGGATATAGGAAGAGGCTAGTGGGCAGTTTTTCTTGGAATACTTCCAAGGCTCATAATCGCCCCGGGAAGCTGCGAGAATACGGAGATGGCGTACTTTTGGGGTATAGGGAACTCACGGGGGAAAAAACCGGCCAGGATCATCGAACAACATTACCGGGGCTAAGATGATGTATGTGGCCGTGTAGTGCAGCTGACTCCACTTATTGTTACTTTTTGCTTCGCGTTGAATTTGACTCTGTGTATTCAATCGGACCTGGGTGCATGCAGGAGTATGGCCTAATATTATGGCAACCGATTGCATGTTGATACAAAAAAACTTCAATTTGAACATGGCTAGATAGAACTCAAGAGAAATCTCCGGTATCCCACATTCAAGTTGCATGGAAATTATGCGATTTGATTCCCATGATACACTGAAGTTTCTTGGGCCCCGATCAGCTAACTATAAGCAAAAAAAGGAGAAGCTAAAACAATTGGTTGATAGTGTCTTTTCATTTTTCAAACTCTAAGATCTATAAAAACAACAAGGGATACCCCATCTTCTCGATTTCATGTAGACTTGCTAGTGGGTTGGTATCTATTTAGGTGACGGTGCTATACTATTTTTATCCTTGTTCAAATCCAAAAAATTTAGATAGAATTTTACAACACAGTGTTCATCAGGCCTCTAGAAATGTTGCGTCAAAACATTCTGAATCCTAGTACATGAGTATCAGGACTAATCAAATACATTGTTTTGAGGCTTTTACGGCTTTCAAGATGCTGAAAGCCTAGTATTCTACCACTTAACCCTCCAATACCTCCCCTTCACCTCGATCTCAACCCGGAAAATGACAAGAAAAGAAAAGAAAAGCGCCACATGGCTAAGTCTAGCAAAATGAGCACCTCTCCAAAAAGTTTCTATCCCTTTGCTTTCCCACCGCATCTACAAGACCCCTGGCAATAGGGATACTGTAAGCCTGAAAGCTATGGGGAAGAGAAGATGATGTCCTATTCCTATCCTACGGGCTGCTATCTACCGGGCACCGGGTCATGTGACCCGGTGCGGTCACATGGTGGTCGTCGACCACGGTGACAGATACTTACTAGTGCCCCAAAAGACATCACCGCAAAGCAAGTCGCAAAATTTTATTTCTGTTCTTGAATATTGCAAAGCTGACCCAGACATGTTGGTGTCAAGCTAACATTTGAACTGATGCAGGACCAGAATAGTAGTATAAAGACAACCAGTAGTGCGTAGGAATCGGGGCCTGGGTGAGGATATCGGGTACCCAGGTTCCTAGAACCAAAACTGTGCAGATGAACAACGAGACAATCAGGGACCCGGTTCCACCCATGAAGATTTTGTTACATGGCAAAGTCTCTCGCCAAGATTCTTTCGGCTCTTTTTCGGAGAGGAATGCTGCTTGGGCAAAATGCCACATGCAGAGTACAAGCAGTACAAATCTGACGATCCGGATCGAAAATCCCCCGCCTATTTGAGGGAGGAGTGATTGCATCACCAGGAGGATAAGGACACCACTAGCAAGACTGCAACGCTCTATGAACCAATGGGTAACGCAGCTCATCGACAAGATCAGGAGAAGGGATGAGCTGATGCCGGTCACAATGGAGAATTACAAGAAGATCTGGTACTATCCTATACCATAATTAGCAAGGGAACGTCACTTTCAGGAGGGAACGTGAGGATGAACGGTTGTGTTTGGTATTAAATGAGAACCGATCTTGCCTTTGGAGACACCAAGTTTGAAAATGCCAACCACCATGCAAATCGTCCCGGCAATCATCAGTGCACGTGGGCCCATTGCGTCAAAGGTTGGTCCAATTTGTACTCCACAGACCCAGTTCATGAAGGTGTAGACTGGGAAAATCTAGCCAAGAGTGGAGGAAGAACCCTCTGATAATGACCTCAAACACACCAGATGTGTTGAAGATACCCAATGATGAGGTCAAGCCACATCAAGCACCCAGTGCCACCAGCCAGGCATCGTGGCCACCCTGGGGATAAGTGATCTCGATGTTGAGAGGTGCTAGAGTGGCTGTTGTGGGGAGATGCAGCGGCAGATGTTCGACATTTGAAGTAGAAGCGTACTCGTTGTCAGTAAGAATCTAAATTTCATATGAGGCGTCCAAAGTATCAATCTGGGATTGGCGCTATCGTCTCTGTGAGCACCATTTTTCGAGTCTGGGAATCTTCCGTAGATATTAAAGTGAAAACGCGATTATTTACTACCATCAACGTGCGACCTTGGTGATTTGCGTTCGTTTCTACTACTGCCACGAAAATGATGACAGAGGCAGTGACCAAGAATTAGATTGGAGATGGCGTAAGCAAGTAGATAAAGTGTGGGAGATAATACAGCCATTCTTACCACCAAACCAGAACAAAAACCAAGGCTCCTATTTAGGGGATAGGGATGCCATTTCCCAGTCTGACAGAAAGCATCATCTACCTCGACAGTGCGTCCTGGATATGTCCAATCAGTGGTAGTAAAAAAAAATAGTACGCGCTGTGACTAAGTAGAACGAAAGATTGAAGCTGCACTCAAACACCCCAGTGATTATTCCGCTCGGTCTAGGTACAGCCCAATCTCTGGAAACAGCGAGATCGGTCTGGTTCTACAGGTGATTTTATGTGACATCCACACCACTTCATGGTAAACACAGCGCAGTGGGGCCTCTGGGGCTCCAGATTGCTTTGGTTCTCGAAGAATTAGACTTTGTGATCTCGTCATCAAGTAGTTAAATAGTACCTATCTATGTAGTTCGTTCGTTCCTCTTCCGAAATCCCACAAACTGTTATCAAATTGATCATTCAGAGCTACGTCCATGCTCTTTAAGGTGCCTGAAATAACCAAACACATCAATTAAACCACGTGAGAATGAGTCCATGTCAGCATTTTACTGATCATGAGAGGAGATATATGTCTGATCTGGAGAAAGGTTCTTAAAAGCGGGCATCCAACAATCTATAGACCTTAGGATGTACTGGAAATGCTGGGTCAAAATGAACATATGGTTTCATTCCCAAAACACTGAAGGTCTTAGCGCCGAGATCCTAACAAGACGAGTAGAAGAAGTGGCTGTTTATGTCGACCGCATTAACCTTCCTACCGTGCTATATGCATACACATTTGAAGGGAACGACGGGGTATTCTCAAGGCCCCTGACTATTGCTGGAATACCGCCAATTGAGTTCTTGTGTATGCCATACGATTTTATCAGCCTAAAATAAATCGATGTGTACCTCAAAAAAAACTAGAGATACGTCAACATGATATACAAGGACAATCTCAAGAAGCACGATGCCGAGATTCAGGGATCGTAGTCCGCTCAATCAATGCCCGAAAACTTTGCACTTCCGTATCCGTCAAATTAAGAGAGGGAATTGGTATTCTCATCAAGATACTTAATTGACTTTGTTCCAGGAATAGGGATAATGTCAGAGCCCTGAGCAAGAAGCCATGCAATAGCAACTTGAGCAGGAGTGCAACCGTGGTTGTTGGCAACATCTTTCAAGCCCTGAAACAGTTTGAATCATTTTCCTGTGCATAATCGGGGAGCACGCGGCGGAAATCATTTTTTTGGAAATATCGGTGAACGATTGAATCTGTCTAGTCAAAATGCCTCGATCAACGGGACTGGAGGCAATGGCAGCAATACCAAGCTTACGGCAGGTATTCAAGATGTCGGTGGTGGATGCGATATCCAGAGCGAACGGACTACATCCCACCTGGTATGCTACAATGAGAGTAGACAGCACGGGCACAGCACGGAGTTGCAGCCGAACATTCAGATAATCTGAGGTGCTTGATCTTGCTTTTGCTGATAGTGTATCAGTGATAGAGCCTCTTGATCTGAAGGGGTGTGACTTACTTCTTTAACTCAACCATAGCCTCGATGGTCTTCTCAGTAGGTATCACGCCATTGACCCGATGACAATAGTAAAGGTCCATAGTCTCAACCCCAAGTTTCTCCAGACTCTTCTCATAGCAAGCCTTGACATACTAGGGGTTAGAGCAGGTTATCTGGGTACCCGTGGCGACATCGTATTGGATCGCAAACTTGGTAGCCAGGAAAATGTTATTGAGATTTCCTAGCTTCTTTACCCACTCCCTCACTGTGTGGTCACTGTCAAAGTATAGATCAGCTGTATCCCAGGATCGCGCACCAATCGAATAGGCAGGTTCAAGAAAAGCTACCTTGTCATCAAGGGCACTGGCAAATCCGTGCATATTGCCAAGGCTCATGAGTCCAACACCAACAGCGGGAACTTGAGGGCCGTTGCGTTCAAGAGATCGAGTTGGAAGAGACATGGTTGGGGTGATATCAAAGAGAATCCGAGTGAGAAAATGCGAACGGTAGAAGTAGAATTGTGTGAATCATGTGGAGAAAGTAAAAGATCTTCAGAAATTTATAGGCCTTTCCATTTCTGTACACAGGTAGACTCTTCAATCCCAACTCCGAAAACGATTGAATCTATCTGCAGTCCGAGTCCATTGGAAAAGGCGCTATTTAGTAGCATCTACTTGATAAATGTATACCTGTAGTCCTTTCAATAGCCATCAGCCCATCAACACGTCCCAAATGCGAGCCCATCAATCGCATATTAGCGCAGTTGAGGATTTAACTCCGGTAGGCTCCACACTCTTTCAAGGACCTCCCTGGGGCCAGTCTTGAGATTATGTTCTCTTAGTCCCAACTGCTGGTATGTACAGGAACGTCTAACTAGCCCGCAAAAAGGCCAAAACAGGCCATAAGACCTGCCAGTAAGTCTTTGCTTGTCTTCATTCTAATAACCCCTAACTGGATCAAGAATCCGCCGGGTCAAATTTGACGAAGGCCGACCAGCTCACCGACGCTACGTACTAACTAGCCGAGTCTGTGACGGCTATGGCATCCTAGGAGGAGACGAAAGTCCCTACGGGCAACCACAGGGCAACCACAGGGCAACCAGGCTCTATCAACCTACTGCACACCGGTCCCAGTGGGCAACCTCAGCCACGAGGAATAGCTGTGGTTTGCCTGGATGATCAAAGGAATTGCAAAGAAGTTTGCCAGTTTGATTCCATCCTACTCCTTTGAAACCTTGATTTTTCAATCCAGTGCACAGGAACCCCGCGGTTCGTCATGCTGTCATTGCCTTGTCGTCTACATATCGTTTCCAGCAGCGACGTGCTCTCACGCGGACTAAATATGACGAGAGTTTCACTCTTCAGCAATAAAACAAGGATTTTCAACACCTACGTACCAAAAAAACCAGCAATAGCTACTCGGTGTGAGTAGCACTGATTAGGTGTATGCTCTTTATCACCCTAGATTACATGCGCGGGCAGAATCAGAGTTGGGGGGGGGGGGGGGGTGGCACCTCTCTAGTATGGCATGAGGCTCCTCTTATTTGTATCTGCCTCGTCTCGTTCGACGAGCGCTCTAACATTGGCGCTGACCCTAGCATAATCCCGGAGCAATGCTAGGGTTCTAAAGGTAGGTAATTTTCCTGGGGACCTGCTCTCGGTCCGGCTCAGGTCGTAGAAGGGTAAAGAACTGATTGTTCGTAATCTCACTTTAGCGATGCTTGTCCTCTTTTCGGATAGTTAAACAGACGTAGTCGTTGTCCCAAAATATTTAAAAAAAACCAAGGTAAAATCATGATTTTGTCAAATGTGATGATCGGTGGTAGGATGGGTTTGACAAATCGGATATGCGTGTTGTATCAAAGTAGAGGTGACTACCAAGGGACATGAAGATCTTCCATTTCAACCTTGGAAGGTACCTCACACAACATTGCCTTTCTTCATTTTGTAGTTGTTACTGTAGGGGATCTTTTGACGACTGGCCGATAGAAGAGTCACCAAGGGTAAATCTTCCATAGGCACTAGTAGACTGTCAATTTGATGAGACAAACGTTCTTGTTTGCACATTCAACACTCAAGCATTCTCTCCACTGATCATAATTTTCTTTCATTGTGTATTGTACAATTTTAGTATGCCGAACGGCCATAGGTCGTGATTTCGTAAAAGGCTTTCCAGCATTCGTAATACCCAAAAGATCTTGTCTTGTGCTTTTCCAAATTCAAAATAACAGAAGTCGTATGCCTTGCATGACTATGTTACCTCCCACCTACCTTCTGACTGCGCAAAAATGCAGCCACCTGCTCATGCCTTGTGACAAAGAACATGCGCTTCCGATCTGACTTCCAAACCAGTACACCAATTTCCGCGGCATACTGGCAAGGGGCCTGATATTCGGCCAAGCTCGTGAAATCCTTGAACAAAAAGCCCGCCGTGGCCCGGAGACGATCCCGCTCTAGCTGCCAAAGCCTGATCTGATCTGTCACAGTAGGCGGGAGCACAGATGCCGGGATACCCTTGCCGTTGGATTGGGCAGCGCTGTGTTTCCGCAGCTGTGGGTGGGCGTGCGATAATAGGTACGAGATTATTTGATCGGCAGTGATTCCCATCTCGATAGCTCGACGGACAGACTGTCTGGTGATTTTGCCAGTGACCAGATTGGGGAAGCGGTATTTGAGGTTTGTGAAGAGGGAGATGAGGGATATTTGTAGGGGCGATGAGGTGTAGGCGTAGAGTCGGTAGTTAGTTTCGATGATGATAAACCCAGAGCCAGAGCCACCAGACGGCCCCACTGGCCCAGTAAGAGAGCCTGTGACAGGGTTGCTCAGAGCGCTCGAGTCCGATGTAAGGGTAGTTGCGAGACGGGTGGGATAGAAGTGCGTCGCGTCGGCGTCTTCTTGGTAGACAATACCAAAATCAGCGAGGTCCGCGAGAGTGCGGAGTTGGTTGGATGTCATGTGGCTCTTGTCGTAAGAGGATCCGAGTTCCAGGCTGCTTAGGAGGAACAGGAACGAGAGGACCTCGACGCTGTCCATGCCGATGGCCTCGGCGCTCTCCACATAAAGAATCAAGATGTGCCAGACCTGGGTGTTGACGTCCTGGAGCACAAATCCAAACCCATCTTTGGTGATGTCAACACGGTTGCCTCGGATCTCAACTAGGTGTCCGGCTTGGAGAAGCTGTTTGACACCCTTGCTCAAATTGACCGCGTCGCGCTGCCCACTCAAGGCACTCGTTCCGACCATGTACCCCATAACACCTTCCCACTGTCGCCTAGCATATTCGTCCAAATCCGCGATCGAGGTCAGGGTGTGTTCCGGGGCTTGAGAGAATACGCCGAAAGAGTGAGAGTCCTCGGCACCCATCAGAGCTTGTCGAAGCGAAGCAGCGAATGGGTTGGTGATCATGTACGCACGGATATTTTCACCTGTGAGGGTCGTAGATAATATATGAAGTCGACCCAATATTGAAAGCGCATTATCCCGCTCCCTTGTGTGAACGCTGTTAGTAATGACTGGAGCCAGATCTGTCAGATAAGCTACTCACTTCTTGCTCTCAGAGTTAACCCAAACTTCCAGATCAGCGGTTGGAAGAGGGTCTTTTAGATAGAGTAGAGCCATCACAAAGCATTTTGCTACATGCACTGTTAGCACAATATCCCCTTTCGTGTGGGTGAGCTCAATGCACCTAAATCGGGCAGCATGCGCCGGAAGATCGCAAGGGCTGTGGATGGCTGTTGGTATAGTTTATAGAAAGTCGTCCCGGGAAGACCCTCCAGGTACTCCAGAGGACGGGATGTTGCACTCGCCATAGTGAGCTGTGAGAAACCAAGTTCTCAAGCAACTGACGAGAATAGAATGCCTAGGTGAAGAGGTTGAATGAAATGACGCTAGTGCGGTGACCGAAGCGGCCATAAAGTGCAGCTTTGGGATGCTCCCCAGTCGCCGGGTCACGTACAATGTTGGAGAAAACCCTCCCTACAACTATCATTGCATCTCCGCAACGTTTTTCGCTTTTTGATATGGCTTCTCTTAAATTTGTCCGCTCGGTAATTTTTAATACTTTCATTGGCTACAATTCACTTCTTACTGACGTATATCGCTATAAATAGGTCTGGGAGTCCTTCCGAGCTACCTCGGGTCTGGAGCCTCGGTATGAAATTCGTCCCAACTTCTCTCTCTCTTTGGGTTATGAGAAGGAAAAAAAAAAATCTAACGTCTAACTCCAATTCGACTGAAGCCTGTTGAATAATGTAAGTCTGGGCCAGTTTCCAAAAGGTTAAATTGAATTATCACTGACCTCTACTATAGCTCCGTGTTACAGCCGCCAGGCCCGGTGTAGTCAACTTTGAGCTAGATATTCAGAAGGAGCATACAGTATGTCTCCTTGTACTGCATTTCAACCAACTTCTCATATGGAACGTCCTCTCTGACATCTACCTCATCTAGAACCGCCTGAATATCCTGCACGGAGGCACCATTGCAAGCATGGGTAAGAGATCCTTGTATATAGCCCGAACTGCGTGATAAGTGGCTCAAATATGCTCTAGTCGACCTCGGGGGCTCGTTAGCTGTGGCATCTCGTGGCTTGTTCGCGACGGGAGTGTCAACAGACCTGAATGGTAAGTCTGCAACACAGGTATCCTACCTGGCTTCTCTGTTTCTGACAAAGTCCTTTCAAGTCACATACTTGAACTCAGGTGGCAAAGTTGGTGACCGAATTTTGGCCGTATGTCTTTCTCCATCTATCTCGCTCAGTCTCTCGATACTACCAAATGGGCACTGACTGTTAACATCAGGAGGTGACTTGTGATAAATGTACGCTACCTGACTGCTTCGCCACATTTCTTTTGCTTAGTATGTTGGTCATCAACTAACTATCCTCACTTAGTTGGCAAGACCCTTGCTTTCACAAACATCAAGTTCACGAACCTTGATGGACATGTCGTTGCTCGTGGGAGCCACACGAAGTCTGTACTCTATCCTATTTTTGAAAGCAAACTGCTAATGTCGCATAGATACGTGGCCCAGGCTTGGAAGGATCCCAATAACATCGTGGAGGAAATGAACAAGCACAAGGACCAATGAGAGCGAAATCAACATTACGATCAATGGAAGCAGGGCATTTGGGTCGAGCAAATCTCAAATACTTGAAGTCATTGAGAAAAGCACACGAAAGATCAGCTGACATTGCAGCAGCAAATCCGAGTCGTCAGAGCAGACCGAGTATAGAAAAGAATGAGCATGTTCACATCCTCAAATGATACCATTCTAGCTGAGCCCAGAAATTTTACGCAAGTTTGTTGTAAAATGAAGCACTCATCCAAGAGCCCCTCAAAAAAACTCAGAAGCACAAAATGTGGAGTAGTTCCAACAAATTCCTTTAATGAGTGTTGCTGTTACCATTTAACCTGCAAAACAATTCATGCAATAATTTCCTCCTCATCATCAGCCCCCATAGCTTCATCTTCATCCAAATAGTCATCTTCGCCAGCTGGCGCCGCATCCTCAATTGTGATATCTCCATCGCCCATAGCCTTAACCTTAGCCTGTGTCATCTCAAACACATATTGTCCAAGGTGCTCCACACTCTCCATCGGAGTGCCCTCAATGACGGCGTTTGCTTCCCGCGACGACGGGAACATCTCGCCAGGCGCAAGCATGAGCTTATCTGGCCGTTTCAGAAGAATGTCGAACGCGGGCTTGAGTTCGTAGCACGATTCGAAGACCTCCCGTCGGCCAAGGACATACAGACCCAGTCGTGCGCGGGAGAGAGCTACAGTCAGACGGCGGACGTCGCGCAGGTATCCGACGCTGCGGGTCCGGGTGAGAGAAAGGATCACGTCTAGAAAAATGTTAGCAATACCGATACTTTGAGTGATATAAATACGCTTTGGACGTAAGTCAACTCACAATCATTCTGCTCTCCCTGGTAGCGATCCACGGTCGTGACAATCTTGGGCATTCCAAACATGGGGCTTTTTCCACAGCGGTGACTCAATACATCCCGGATCAAAGCTGTCTGCCCAGCATATGTGGCTAAGATCGAGATTTTAGAAGCAGAGTAGCCCAAGAGTCGCATGTACTGATACATGGCCACTGCGTACTCTGCTTCACCCAAATTCTGGATAAAGTGAGGTGTCGGCTCTCGCTCTCCAGAACCCTGGTAGTCGGGGACATTGATGAACTGGTAGTCGAACTGGAAACCAGCATTAGCCTGCTGGTATTCGGGGGCAGTTTCAACCACTGGAAGATCTCCGAGTTCCTTGTACCGCCAGCGGAAGAGCTCTGCAATGCTAGGTCGCGCGCGTCCCTGCCTATCCAAGTTAATCACCGGAACACCTAATCGCGCCAGTCGCAAGAAAAGACTTTGCTCGAAGTGGGCATATTGACGGAAAGCCATGTTCTGAATGATGGGTGAGTTCTGGTAGTGATCACCACAGAGAACGACACGCTTAAGAGGAAGTTCGCCGTTCTTCATGTTTTGCAGAGCGTTTGGGATGAAGCTCTCAACCTCGGTAATCTGCGCGGCTTCTTCCATGACCACGTTGTCGTAGTGGAAGCCCAGATCGGCAATTTCTTGCCGGCGCATAGCTGCGTGGGTCGAGGTCATCGCGATAATTCTGGCCTCCTTCACAAGGAGATAGTTCGCTTTATCGCGAGGTTGTCTCAAGATCTCGAATGGCCGGATGTCTTCCAACTCAGAGAAGATTCGAGCAATGTGGCGTTCGCAACCTGCAGCAGTGTCGATTATTGCCTCCTTCGCGGCTTTAGCTTCAAATAGGGGCTGAGGAGTATTTGCAAAGTATGATTGGAACGGGAAGGATGCGACAATCTCTTCATTTGATGTTCCTTCGGAATTTGCTCGATCCCAGAATTTGGCCCATGTTGGCTGCACATAAACTGTATTGAAGTAGCCTGCAGTCTCACATGAATTTCCATGCGCACCTTCGACCCCAATTGATGCTGCCAACCGCATCACTTCTGATAGATAGTGATTGCGGTTGTCAAGGAAGGATTCGACTCGTCCATACTTGCTGTAGTTGGAATCAGTGTCCAATTCCTCCTCGCCGTGACCCAATCGCAATAAGTGCCGTTCATCAATATCAAGGGCAATGATTTTTTGGAATAGTTGATTGAGGGCTTGGTTGCTGTGTGCAATGAGTAGCGTCCGTTCGTTGGGGAAGTTGTGGTAGATGTTGTTAATGATTTGGGTGGTGACGTCAGTCTTTCCAGTGCCAGGAGGTCCCACGATGACGGTAAGTCCAGGCTGTATTCCAGATGCGATGGCTTCCACTTGGGCGGGAGTGAATCGGATTTTGTTCAATTTGGGAGTGTCGACAGGATAGGGGCCAGGGTTTGGTGGCTTGTAAGTGGAAACACGCATACTGCTAGGCACCAACCCTGTTTTGGTGGCTTGGTCCCGGCGTCTCTTCTTCGGGGCGTGAGGCTCTACTGCAGGCTCCTGGTTAACATATTCAAGAATGTAGGGCGGGCCAAAGCTGGCATTCTCAGCCCCTGAAGGTTCAATGCCCGGGAAGCTTTCCACCAAATGAGACCAGTCCAAAAGAGTATCTCGGAAGTCGACCGTGCTAAGTCGGTTTGGCAGCTGTGTGTATTGACCACTAGCGGGATCTCCGTAGCCCAGGAATATGTCCTGGAACCAGGAAGGAAGCGTCATATCAGAGACAAGAAGCTTTTGCATCGTCTGCAGAATTGGCTTGAAGTTATTCTCTCTGCCCTTTCTCCGTGCAACCATGTTGATGAGTGGGTAAATGTCCGGCTTGCCGTTGGCCTGCTGGTCCTTGTCGGCTTTGAACGCAGCCGCATCCAAGTTAACGATCAATCTTCTTGATCGTGCCCTGGACTGAGAGCCATTTGACTGGCCAGGATATTGTCGCAATGCGCGGCCTTGCTCGTCAAGTACCTGTATGATCTCAGCCGTTCGAAGATGGATCATCCGAGGAGCTTCAGATGCACCTTGTTCCGACTGTGACGAGATAGACTGAACTGCCAAAAGATAGATTACGTCATCAGGACGGAGTGAGTCCCATTCTCTCCTAACATTATCTGCAAGCCTTCCCACCTCTATCGCGATCTCGGCTCGAACAAATGCCGGGTTTGTTGCCCCGACCTTTGGTGGTGCGACATCAATGATAGCAGGCTTTGAGATTGGAATAGCCATTCGAGAGAATCCCTCAAAGTTTATGCTTCCATCACGCATTGCCTTTGGCTGCATGCGTTTAACGAGGGACTCCATGTCCTTGCGGATTTGGAAGAATGCTTCTGATCGGTAGAGAAGGAAGGAGCGCCAAAGGAAATCTCCGAGACTCAGATACTGGAGATTCAACTTTGGGATTGCCAGAGGCCTTGATCCGTCGTATGTCTCATTCCTCAACAAGGCCGGGTCATAGAGGGTTTCTTCCGTCGGGAGTGGACTCAATTTCTCGACAGCTTCTTGGAAGGGCAGCTTGCGTTCATAAAATGATGCCAAGACTTCGAGATAAAATTGACGGTCTGGAGTAATGTGCGATGATTTTGGGTAGCTTGTACGGAATCCTAGGTGAGAGCAAAGGCTGTGGAGTTCCGACTCGTCTAGAGAAGATAGCTGTCCTTCTAGATCCGTTCGCTGCGCAATTGACCCCATATTAGAGAGCGCGAGAAGCATAAGCTTGTCTTTGAAGAACTTCATTGCGGTTCTTTGTAGGTGGGCCAGTTCCTGGCAATGCAGGTCGTACACTCCCTGCGGAGAAAGAGCCTCGCCAGAGTAATCATCAATTGCAAATTCGACAAAGTGTTTGAGAAGGCTATGGAAGTCGCGGAGAAGGGCGTTGTCAGGCACACGGTAGAGCTGTGAAAGGCAGATAACCGACAAAATGTTGAGGTCCTTCAGCAGCGTGTTCACGTAGCGCCTCGTTGGAAGCTGACTTTCGAGATCAACCAAGAGCTCAAGGAAACGTTCACAGTATAGCAAGTTCTCGGCCTGGTCCTTTTCGGGTCCGTTTAACCTATGAAGGAAATCCAAGAGCATCGTGTATAGCCATGAACGTTCAAAGCGCATCTTGGCTTTCGCCGCTTCATCTCCAGCCTCGTATCGCTTTGCAGAGGCTCTCCATGCCTTTTTCAGTGTCAGGGCCTTGGCAATAATACGATCTCTAGTCTCCTCGCTGGCTAGATTGTGCCAGATCGAGATGGAAACCAGGGGAGCACATTCTTTGCGGATCAAGACATTCTCGAGCGATTGGAAGGCACTGATAATAAACGATATGATAGACAGTCGAGAGCGAGTCGGAAGTGAGTGGTCAATGCTCATTGAGAGAATACGGTGGAAGAGATTGGAGAAGTCATCAGCACGGTCGGTGAAGATATCTGCAAACGTCAGCTTCGCTGCTTTCTAGATCTTGTCGCATTAACTCACCCCATATCGACAAGTGCTCGCGGTGCTTAACGCTGACGATCAATGCAATCAACAGTATATGATGATTCGACGCATCCTCTGTGTAAGTCGGCCAAAGGAACCTAGAAAACAGTTAGCGTTGGTCTTGTAGGTATGAGTAGGGACAACGTACTTCTCGAGAATGTTCAAGTTCTCGAGGATCAATAGTGAGCGACTGTTGAAAGCTTCTGCTTCCAAAGGATCCCACAATTGCTTCTTGATGACATCTGGTTTGGCCTTGCGAACCTTCGTGTTTAGCCAGTGGGCCTTGGCTAGCTGCACCCACGGGCTTTCTTCACGAAAGTCCACCACTGTAGGCCTGGATTCGAGACTCTGCGCCATCGCATGAGTCAATAGTTTCCTTAACCTAATTAATTGGGGTTGGTCAAGGAGGGGTGGATTGGCGCAGTCGGGAGCATCTGAATTGGTGAAGCTGGGGGAGCTTTTCAAAAAGTCTTGGCTTTCAACTCCGCCGAGCCGCAGTCCTCAATCAATCCGACCAGTTTGTTTCCCTCCTCTCCTTCCTACACGCATCTAAACTTTTTTCTTTCTCTTATAGAAGGGTTTTCAAAGGACGGTGGATGAAACTACTGAGAAGAAGCTGAAGACGGCAATCTAGAAAATCACAAGGCCCCAAGACGCTCGACACGAC